ACATGAAAAATTCTTCAAAATAAAGTGTCAAGAATATTTTATTTTATCAAATAACCAATGAAAACGTAGAAATAAACAAAAGTTCCCGTGACTACGAGAACTTTAGGGACGGAGGGAGTATTTGTTTTGAACTCTGTTTTGAACTCTGATCTACCATTCATTAGTTTTTTAAGATATTTCAATTACCTTTTTCAAAGTTTTTTAAATTTCTTTTAGTTTCATACTTTTAGTTTTAATTACATTTGTTTTAGTTTTTTTAGTTTTGATATTTTTTGCAACGGAGTTAACGCAACTCGTTATGCCGTTGCAAAAGTTTAATAATTTGTTGCAAATTTTCTGCAATGGAAAAACCGTTGAAAAAATCTGTTGCAAAACGCTCCCGGAAAAAGGCGCCAAACTCCCATCATAATTGCAACAGATAAATTACCTCTCCGTTGCAAACAATACCGTTGCAAAATAGTTATGTTGCAAATTAAATTGCCGTTGCAATGTCGCAACGGAATAATGCCTGTTGCTGTATTTCTGTTGCAAAACTAACATTTTCTTGTAGTGTTGGACATTATTCTTCTGACTAGTCATTATTAAGTCCTATTTAAGGAATAAAAAAGTTTAAATCCTACATTGGGAAATTACTTATGTTTTAGTCCTATTCACTGCAAATTTCACATTTTAAAAAGTCATTTAAAATTTGTAGGTATTCAATTGAGACTTTAAAAAAATCTAAATCTAATGATATTGAATTTGATAGATTTTCAAGGATTGTTATAAAAATGAATTGTCATAGATTTTTAGCTTGAAATATAAATAAAAAACTTGTTTGCAAATCCAATCAAAAGCCCACGGATTTTGTGTGGACTCCAAGGGTCGGACTTCTTCCGCTCATCTTTTCGATCTCATCCGTCGGCCGATCTTCTTCTCTTCTTTCGCAAGAGCTCATCTTCTCGATGTCTTATATCTTTTGTGTTGTCTTTAATTTTTTATTGATAAAATTTGACATACATGAAAAATAGTTTAGAGATAATAATGCTTTTTGAGTCTCAAAGCAAATTTATTGCTTATGACAATGATCAATATATTTTTTTATGCTAATAAGTTTATAATAATAATAATAATGTTAAAAAAATAATTTATTTTTATAAAATAATATTATTTTTTAAGTTTTTGATCAATTTCATAAGTATAATTAATGTTAGAGTAATGTATACATTTTTAAAATGAATCAATGTATGCATAAATAATCCATGGGTTATAACTAATTTACTAGAATCCTATAAAATCATGTTGATAAAATACAGTAAAATCAATATAACTCTGCGTAAACTTAAAATAATCTATAGATTTTTAAAAAAAATCAACATATTCTAACAATCTATCATATTCTTATTTTTTAAAAAACATAAACCCTAAAAAGATTTTTCTCAAGAGGGGAAAACAATATGTGATGTAGGTCATGCAAAAAAAATACTCATTAGTTGAGGGGAATATGAAGAGAATGAGTAGGGATGCCCTAACATGCCTCCTCCACTGATCCTCCGTGGCATTGCCACATCACTTATGGTCTCGGATGAACATCGCCCCCTTGTCCCGTGAGAGGTTGGCGTGAGTGATGGGGAAGAGAGCAATGGCCACGGCCATGAAAGAAAGAAGCAATGTTTGATTTTTATATATATTATAAAGTTATTTTAATTAATTTTTCTATTGTAATGTCTATTTTGTTCATAATTTTTTATACGTATATTACTTCTTGATGTATAAGAGGCCATGAGGAATATTTTTACAAGATCTACTCAATGACACCAATATTGCATACTCCCTCCGTCCCACTATCTTTGTCCACTTACCTTTTGGCACACCATCCAATACACTTCTTTAATCCATTTTATCTTGTAATTTGTATATTAAAAAATTATAAAAATTATATATTAATAATTTATATGTTAAGACGAATCAAACAAGATCACACATGACTATTTTTAGGCTTACACATTGAGAGAATTTGATGAGTCAAAGTGCTTAGATGAGCAGTTCCAAAAGTCAAAACTGGACAAAGACAATGGGACGGAGGTAGTATATAATTTTGACATTATGTCACATATTTTTTTCATCCAAACATTTTCGAATTTTGCAAAATATGTTTTATTTTTATTTTTTAAAATGATTTCGTCCAAACACTTTCAAACTGATGGAACCGTGTTTCTTTGTTTTTTTAAGAATGAAACCTAGTTTTAATTATAAATTATGTTAACATTGCATTTTCTTTTAAATTAAGCTAGTTTATAATTTTTGTTATGTACGGAGTATAAAAAATCTAAAAAAAACATCTATGCAAAACGATTTTTATTTTAAGGTTTGTAGTCTTTTTTACGACACATTAAATATAGTTTTGGACAAATAAATATTATAAAAACAAAAAATCTATTATATAAAAAATATAAAAAAAATATTAAAATGTGATATATCAAATTGACATTATGCTCTGTAACTAAATATAGCTTTTTCACAATTTGTGATGGAAAGAGTGCATATTAATATGTTACATTAGAAAATTTGGGGGGGGGGGGGTAGAGCACAAGAACCCATGGAAAAGGAACAAGAAAACACACACTAGTATACGATAATATGAAAGGTACATTATTTGCATATAGTAAAATTCTACATTTGCCTGAAATACATCTCCTGGGATTACACTTGGTGAAATTGCCATACTTTTGCCTATTTACTTCTAACCGTTCAAGAAATAGAGTTTCATATATAAAAAAAAATTAAAGAAAAAAAAACACACACAGACACACACACACACACACATTGCACACAACTTTTCATTTCCAGTGTATCAGCTATATTCATGTTTGTGCCTCAGCCTATGTCAAAAGAAAAAGCTCTAAACTTCACTGAGTAATAAAAAAGGGGCTCATATAAGGGGATGGACCTCTCTCTCTCTCTCTCTCTCTCTCTAGCCTTTGCGTGTTCTCTATCGGTTGCGACATGCAACTCTCGAATTACCTTCAAACTGTACTCTCCACCTTCGGGGCGAGTTTTTATGCCGCGGGAAGTCTCCTCCTAGGCAGCAATTTCTGCGACAGTATAAAGATCAATATAAGCAGAGGGATATGTGATGAAACACCTCTTGTCAAAATACTAATTTTGGTCCCCATGACTTTGATGTCCTTGACATTTTGGGTCACTGAGGCCAAAATTGAGATTTAACCCCCGAGAACGATCATAAACTGCACATTTTTCTCTTATTATATTTCATTTCATGGTGTTTTGGGGGGATTAAGTGCATGAATTCATTCATGCTGACTAGCTTTGAAATTGGAGTCCAATATCTGCAAGTAGTGAGCATAAACGAAGCAGAAAGAAAGGGTTGTCACATCTCAGCAAAGAGAAAAGAGGGTGAAAAAAAATGTTTACCTCTAGTTGATATATTTGTAACACCATAACCACCAAGACCATCGAGCGAATTGTTCGATATGGCATCTGGCGATATACTATCAGGCCCATAGCCGAACGAGCTAGAAACATCGCGCAATGGAGATGATGAATACTGCGTTGGATCATCAAAGAACAAGCTTTTCCCAGGCCCATACAAGTTCCCCAAATCCCTGCTATAAACATTTTCTTTTTGAGCAAACCTTCTGCCACTTACAAAGCTATTACCTCCATTGTTGTAACTGATGATGTCATTCTCAAACGGGCCATTCTTTCCCGCATGGCTTGAAATTGAGGAGGAACCCCAAATTGCTCCAAGACTTCCTAAGCCAACAATATCGTTCTCTCTGTCCCACAAGTTCCAACTTGTTGAGTTCAAAACAGAACCACTTTGGATCGGCGTGTCATAACAACTTGATATCCCAGAGCTGAAGGGACTTTGGGTCCTCCCATATCCAATATTAGCACCCAAATTTCCTCTTTCCCCGAAGTTTGGCTGATTAAACAATGAATATCCGCTACGACCAACGGGAGTTGGACTATATCTCTCCATTCTTGATGCATAACCTCCTAGAGAACTTAGACCCTGACCAAGAGTGTATCCATTGAGGATACTGTTTACTCTGTTGAGACCAGAGTTATTATATCCAGTTAATGGACTACGGATTGGTCCAGGTGACAGCTCCTTAGGAACAGCTCGCTTGACCTCAACCATTTTCCCATTAAGTTCATGGAACATTTTGTGAAGAACTCTATCCACTGCTTCCTCCGAGTCATAAGTGATAAATCCAAAACCTCTTGGCCTTTGGGTGTTGTGGTCATACATCACTACGACATCAGTTATTGTCCCGAATTGATCGAAATACTTCTTAAAGTCACTCTCAGACACAGACGACGCTAATCCTCCAACAAAAATTTTTCTCGTTCGGGCAGAAACAGGGAGTATATTTACATTATTTTTGTTCGTGTAATGTTCATCTCTTGGGACAGCCTTCTTTGCTTCAACCTGGTGAGCAAATACTGAAGTGAGAAGCAGAATAAAGGAAGCTTCATTTTCAGAACACAAGAAAAAGGTAATGACCGATCATATGTACTTCTTTACCAACCAAGAAGCAGTATATATACTTCGTTCCACCGCGAGAGTTCAAGCAATAAAAAGAACATATGTAAAAAACTCGGGCTAGCTAGCAAAGCCTGTTCCCCGGTTCTCATTAATCGGTAATACATTCTAGTATTCTACAATATGAACAAAGAACTACTAGTGTCTTGTTTGGTACACATAAAGGAATAAAGGAGGAAAGAAATTAAACTTCAGTGGGAAAAGAATATGTGAGGAATAAAGGAGTTAAGATTACCCAATTTGGTTGATCAGAATAAGGGAGGAATAAGAAAAAAACAATACCTAAGTGGGGGGTGAGTTGGGTGGGGTGGGGGTGGTGGGGGGGGGGGGCAGGATTTTTTCCCATGGCAAGGAATCCCAGTTCCTGGGAGATCTCCTCGTACACCAAACTGTGGCCATGGAAATGGTTGCACAAAGTAAAAGGGAGAAAATCATGTGTTCTATTGTACCAAGCAAACCACTACTATTGTTCTCTTTAAACAATCTATCAGATAATCAAACTACCCGGAAACGTTTGTTGTCTGAAATATTGCTTATTACATTTAAACCCGTCCCTAATTTCATTCACACAATAGCTGTAACAATATCACCCTATTCTAAGATTCCTATAGCTGTCCTTGGTACTTAAAATCATTAGTGTCCTTATTGATACAAATTATTGAAGTAACCTATTAATTCTGCAACACAACCTCGTGTGTGATTCTTAAATGGCATTACTAAAAAATCCAAACCCAAAAACAAATATTTAGAAGACTAGGAGCCTTTCGGTAAGGATTTCTAGGCTGAAATATATAAAACCTAATCATGGAAAAGCATTTAAAAACATCGATTTCAGCCAAATAAGTGAAAAGGTTTTTGTTTTTGTTTTTTTGTTTTTGAAAGAGCAATGGGGCAATATATTGAATGTGTCACCTACAGTTCTGCCATCTATAATGTGCTTCTCCTTGACAACTCTTTCAGCAACAGAGGAATCCTCAAAAACAACAAAACCAAAACCGCGGGCGCGGCCTGTGGTTCGATCCTTCATGATCACCGCCTCAACCACTTCTCCGAATGTCTCGAAATACTCTCTGAGTCTCCCCTCGCTGGTCTCCCATGAAATCCCACCAACAAACACTTTTCCAGGATCCATTGCCGTCCTGAACACCACAATCAACACGAAATGAAGCAATTTCCAAACACACGCATTCCGAATCCTTTATGTCAGAAAGGATCCAAGCAAAATCAAAACAAGTCTACAATTCAACAGCAAGTTTTCATACAACCATCTCAATTCTCAAAGAAGAATCAAATCCCTCATCTTCAAAGACATCAATCCAATGAATAAATATCTAAATGCACATAAACCCATCATCATCAACAAAAACATCACAGGAACGGGAGAGATTTGCAGGAATTCAATCACACAGAACAAAACAAAACAAAACAAAAACAGGACCAGATGATCATCAGTTCAAAACAATCGGGAAAACATCTATACGATGATCAATAATCAACGCAGGCTCATCGGATTTACCAGATTAGGAAGACAGGCGAAAGAGTGGGTGGTGGGGGGCTGGGAGAATTTTTCAAGATCTGAGGAAAAGCATATGCGGCGAGCAGAGGGCTGGAAATGCCCTCTCTTTTCCTCCCGCACCTTCGTTGTTTATTCCCAACTTCAATGTTCTGGTTCAATCATTCGGGTGCATTCTAACACAGGTCGATATATATATATAATACACACGCGCAGGGAAGGAGGAGAGAGAAATTTATGTCATCAATGGCGATAAAAGGGAGAGAGGATTGTGTGTGGCTCTCCCTACTCAAAGCTCACATGCACAAAATGTGGAGCTCAAAAAAAATGAAGAACAATATATTATTGACATATATAGTCTCCCATATAATTTAAATTGTATGTTGTTGTTTACGAAGTACTTCGTAGTTTTGTTCAAAGTTATATTAATTTTTTTTTTGGAAAATTAGTATGAAATTAAAATATAAAAGTTATACATTTAAAAACTACATCAAACGGTTTAGAAGATAAGAGGTGATAAAACTATATTAGTTTTGTGTTTAATTTAAAAAAAATTGAGTTCCCAAAAAAAATTATTCTGTTAATAAGAACAGTTATTTAAATTATTCTTCAGCTAGTCGAGAAGGTATTGTCATAGGAATAAATTCAGGTTCAAACCTGACAACGACGATAAAGAATGACGATGCTATGCTGAGATTCTTGCACTATCAAGGGGGCACACATCACTTCTTGGGTCAAGCCCTTACGAATTTGTTTTTTTTAATTTCTTAAAAGGTCTCATACTAATGAAGTTGTGTAAACCATTAAATATTGGTTCTCTTCTTTTTTCGGTGTGGGACTACGTTGCATTTCCAATAAACCTCCTCTCAAACTAGAACCACACAAACTCTGACCTTCCCTCCAACAGTAATCCATTTTTTATCAGCTAACCATATTGCGTTGCTGCTACACCTTTCACGGGACACGCCACCCGACCTTATGTTGGAGAGACTTTTGACGCAAGACTATTTGATCCGTCAAATTATCTTGTACCACCGCTACAACATCGCGGGACATGTTGCCCGACCTCCTCTTGCTTGAAAGATTTTCGATATAAGGCACCACATGTAGATCCCCTTTTCGTCTTGGTCATGTTGTTACAACGTCACACTGCCCGCACAAACCAGGATTTCGATACCACATGTTGGGACTACACCTAACCTCACTTCTTGTCCGAATATCTTGTAAGTTCTTTTAAAGGTATAGTATTTTTTATTTATAAACAACGTAATATCTAATTAATTGATAATCAAAATTTATCTAATTTAATTATAAAAAATCAAATAAGACAACACACTAGAAAACGAAGGTCACGTCTTCTTCACCTGATCTGATTGGTACTGATTTGATTGGAATAAGTTCAGATATAATCTAGTCTTATCTGATCTGATTTGATTTAATCTGAATGTAGTTATATTTAAAACTATTTCTGATCTGATCTGATCTGATTCCAATAAGAATAAGTAATAAGTAAAAAAAATAAGTTAGGGAGAACATGACCGAAGAATAGTTACATTTTAAAGTAATCAACAAAGGTTCATTTCTTTAGACAACAAAAGTTATTACTACATCCGTCCATGAGTATTTGTCCAATTTTGACTTTTTTAGTCAAATATTTTCAACTTCTGACATATAATTAAATAAAATATATATTGTATTTTAATTCGATAAAATAATATTTTAAAAACATTTGATATAATAAATCTAATGAAATTATTTTTGTATCAATATTTAATATCATTTTTATTTAATTTGAGGTCAAAAATTAATAATTTTGACTCAGAAAAATTAAAAGTTGACAAATACATAGAAGCGAAAGAAGTATTTATTATCATACTCTGTATTATGACAACAACGCATTTAGAGCATTAAGGTGCATTGTTTTCAAAATTGATTATGTGTATTAAACTAAACACACCTCCCCAAACCCCCATTTACCCCCCTTCCTCCCACCTTGGATTGTCGATTGGCAACAGTATTTATTGTTATCAATAGATAATTTGTTGTAACAAAGACACTGAAACCAAAGGTTTTTTTAGAAAATTAAATGATAAAAGTCATCTATTTTTTAATGATACAGAGCAAGTATTTGTTATTATAGTATAATACTCCCTCCGTCCCATAAAATCATTCTCGTTTTGACTTTTAAAAAAATTAAAGGGAATGCATTTTGGTGTTGACTTTACAAAAATGCCCTTAGATGTGATGAACAAAAGTAGATGTGATGGGTAAATTAATAGTAAAAGAGTGTGATGCGATATGTAGGTTAAGAATTAGTAGATGTAAAAGTAACTTTTAATTAATAAAAATGAAATTTTTTTTGGAAGAGAAAAAAAGAAAGAAGAGAAGTGTCATGGGACGAGAGGAGTAACAAATATTGTTGTCAAAAGAATTAATGGGCATCAACAAAAGGGTGTCCTATAAAAGTGTTTGATAAGATGCTAGTTAGGCAAATGGCCTAAGAACCAGCTAGTTGAAAACGTACGCTATCAACCATTTGGAATCACAGTTCACACGATCTTATTTTTTGTCCGGATCCCTATCATTTTCATTTTTAGTACTCTATCTTTCCTCCTAAAATAATCTTTTCAATCAATGTTTACATAAATTTTCAATAATTATTTCATAAAATAATATATTCACGTCAGCTCTTAATGTATGAATAAATTCTCAAAATGGTACTCAATAACTATGTATTTTCCCAAAATAGTCCAAAAGATGAACTAATTACCGAGATAGTATTCGTTAATTGAAAATAATGTTCAGTTTAGTCCCTAGACCCACCATCAAAATGGTGTCAAAACGACAGTAAAACTTATACTTATATTTTAAAGTGATCATTTTTAATCAATTTTTTTTCTAAATTAGTCAATTTTTGAAATAAAATCTCATAAAAAAACGATCACCCGACTTTGCTCAAACATCGCGAATCAATTAAAAGGGAAGAATTTTGCTTTGGTTTTTTAAATTAAATGAATTTTTACATTGAAAATACACTAATTTGAAAAACATCCAATTATATATGATCAATTTTGAAATTTAGTATCAGTTTCAATGCTGTTTTGACGCTGTTTTGACGACCGTTAGTCGGGAGACTAAACTAAGCATAATTTTCAATTTGCGAGTACCATCTCGATAATTAATTCATCTTAGGGACTACTTTGGAAAAACACATAGTTATTGAGTACCATTTTGAAAATTTACTCATTTGGTATTTCTATCATCTAAATTTAAATTTTATTCTCAAAATGGTCATTTTTATGCAATTAAATGTAAAATTAAAGCAATACATTTACTATATACATAACTCATTAAATATTAAAAGGCTATAAAAAAATTTTAAATTTCGAATCAAATACAAATCTTTAATTAGAAATACCCATTTTGGGAAAGTATTTTATTTAAAATTATCATTTTAACAATTTATTCTAAGTTTAGCTAATAAAAAAATACCAAAATACTTCCCAATTAATGATCATTTGAGTAGCATTATTTACAAAGGACAATCTAAGGAATAAATTTTAGTTATAAAGTATGTAGGTAATTAAAATTAATTGAGGGCTGTTCTGGAAAAACTACTTTATAGAGTAGACTATTTTAAAAATTTACTCAAATTAAAATAAGCTTAACCAAAAGATGTTAGTGAGATCTACAACCTAAAATCATCTGATAAGTAAATATAGTAACAATTAAAATATTGAAAAATATAATTTAAAATATGAATAATTGAAATGTGAACTTGTAAAGAGAGCCCTTAGTTCAAGGATAATTGCACCTTTGCAATATTTACGGGGTATGTTTTTTTATGAGTAATTTTTTTAAAAGATAAAAGTTAAAAAAAACTTGTATACTTGTAGTTCAGAGTTACTCCCTCCCATCCTTTTTATCTGTCTAATTTACTTTGCGTGGTAAATATTTAACTAACTATATATATAAATAAACAATGAATTAAAATATAAAAACTATATTAATATAAAATTATTGGTATTTAAATATACTTTTAATGTATTATTTGTAAAACAATTCTGATCTGTTAATATATTTTAAGAGATATTGTTAATCAAACATTATAATGGACAGTCAAATAGGAATGGAAAGAGTACTCCAAATCAATTATGGAAAAGAGAGAAATTAAATACGGAGTAATTTATATGAGAAATGTTTGGTTCACAAACACAATAGTCACAAACTTTACAAACTTATTATTTGTGAACTTCAATGGAAAGAGTACCCTATATCAATTTTTTCTTACTCCTCGTCTTATAGTATTTGCTTACTCTTGACTTTTTCAATCAAAATTGGTCAATTTTGACGCTAAATTAAATAAAAATGGTTTAAGATATTATTTTATCTTATTAATATACAATATATGTATTATTTAATTATAAGTCAAACATTGAAAAAATTAACTAAAAAAGTCAAAACTGAAAAATACTCAAGGACAGAAGTAGTTTTACTAAATTCGTATTACTTATATTTATTAGAATTAGATCAGGCTAAAAAAAGTTTTAAATATAACTATAATCAAATCAGACTAGAATAAATTATAATTTATTTAAATTCAATCAAAATTAATCAAATCAGACGAAGAAAAAGAAGCGTTGGTAACTCAAACCAAATGTGTGTATGGATGGCCCATTCAACAAAAAAACTCAAAAAGATAAGTGGGGCGGTGGCATTTTTGTGGTGCCCACTCATCCATCTCTACAGGTAATCTTTTTTTTCTATTAAAGACAGGTAGACTTGACTCATCATCCATTTTATAATAATTAATCATGAATTAATTAATTAATTATTAGTATGACAACTAATATAGAGGGGAATCATTCTATATATCGGTTCATAATCGGCTGTTTATTGTTTTTTTCGGTGTATTTGTAATTTTATCCTTTTAAAATTAATTTCAAAATTTATAAATTCTGATAAAAAATAGTTTTAAAACATACTCCATTATTGTAATTTGTTTCATAAAAAATCTTAAAAGTGATTTACTCAGTTGTTATTTTTGGAGTGTTATTAACTTTATCACGCAGTATAATGTAATATCTGTTCATATCACAGAGTATAATGTAATATCTGTTCAAAATTATGTTTCATAATAAATCATTTGATCTTAAATTTATATGAAAAGTTCATATATATTTTTCATAACTTATAATTAAATTTTTAAGATTTTGTCGGATAATATTAAATTGGAAAGTTCTTTCATGAATATGAGAGAATATATATATATATATATAAATATATATATATATATATATATATATATATTGCAACTTTTTTTCAAATTATTCTAGGTATTATAAATTTAACTTACCACCTATTCCGCTTGATGGGTAATAACCCATGGATACCGCCCGGTAGGTCCGACCGACTGGGGGTACCGAATATGACGCCGCCTGACCTATTAAACCCGGACTGTCTGACCGGTCTGGATGAGTAGGTCGGGAGGTAAAGATGCAGCTTCTATTATCGAAGTCTGACTAAGGAACCGGTCGGAGGACTAACCGGCCGGATAACCAGAGACGTGCTTGACGTGCTTAGGATTATTATAAATACCCCTAAAAGCCTCATTTGTGAGGCATGCTTTTATTAATCCACACGGCTTGTATTTTGTAATAGCTCTTATTATCATTAATAACAAATCGGGTTATAGGTGTTCCCACCTACAACCCTTCCGATTACTTATACTTAACATTTGCGTGGTAATTTACACCATCACCGCTGTTTCTAAAAGATTCGCACAATTTAATTTTTTTCGTCAAACTATATACACTTTTTGATAGAGAATTATGGAAAAAATATTTTTAGTTATAATGTAAGTTTAGTAATATTAGATATATTTTAAAATATATTTTTAAAATATCAAATATTATAATATTTAATTATTTTAAACTATTTTTTAATGGTATAACAAAGTTTGACCAAAAAAATTAAATGGAAGAGAGAGTATGAATTTATAATGTGACTAGACACTTTAGGATGGAGACCCATACCCCACCAACCTAAAAACAGAACATTTCAAATTTTCAATTGTCACTTCTTGACTGCTCCATGCGGAGTATCCATTAATTTTCTAAAAGAAGATTAAATTAGCGTCTATCTTGGATGATTATTACTCCGTATTATTATTATGGTGTCGTTTCTCATTAATTTTAGCATTTAATTTAAATATTTTAAAAATAATATGAAGAAAATATTAAATGTAGAACATTTTTGTATTAATTATGTTCAAAAATCTAACCCTCTTTATATGGAAAAATGTTAAAGTAAATAAAGAAATTTCTATTCTATTAAAACAAAAATTAAGCAAACTAAGAAAGATCCAAAACCGGATTTTTCGTTCTTCTAAAATCTCACGCCAACACCCTCCTCAAGCTGAAGCTAGGGGGTTTCGAATGCCCAACTTGGACAAGACATAATCGAACCATCTTAAGTCAAGTGTCATTTGAACACTTCAACAAATAAATTTTTTTCTTCTTCGACGAAGACGCAGCCCTTTTCGAATCGCCGAATAACCAATCGATTAAAGGAAATCATTATTTTTCAAACTTTCATCAAACTCAAACGAACAGGACAAACACTATTCTTTCCGAACATCGTGAACACCAATTTGTTTTTTTAAATTTCACCTTGAAGAAATTATCCCCATTCTCCAGAACTGTTAGGTGTATTTATGTATTGCGATTAGGTTCAGGTCACCCGTATAATCGGTCCGTAGTTGTGCACTACTATATATCGAAAAAGAGCAACACCACCCAAACCCAACATTATCACACTCCACTCATAGAGAAACATAGAAGAACAGAGATGAACACAGAGAGGAGGACAACTCACACAGAGGAGAACTCACAAAGAGGAAAAGAGGCTCTCTTATTTTTGCACAGTGAAACACAAGCACGCACCATCACTATATATAGTAGAGAATAGGGAGGTAATTAATGCAAGCTTAATTAGGTTAAAAATATAGGATGGGCTTGAGTAAGTGTGTTGTTGGGTTGGGTGTCAAAAATATTACTACATATTAATATGTTTGGGCGAATCTAAAATAAATTAATAACAATCTCCACCTTTGGCCCAAAGTAGCGCACATAATTGACAAGAAATTGCGGAACTCGTCATAGTCAAATAACCACTAAATGTGTAATCAACAAATGAGAACACACTAGTGGTGGAGAGTTCACAAAGTACTCTCAAGTCACGAAGTCAGAAAACACAATTCATTTTTATCAAGCAAGCATACTTCAGACAAAAGACTTTTAAGCCAAATAGCTTCTTTAAAAGCATATGTGGCAGCAACGTACTCAACTCCAGTAGTAGACAAAACAACAATGTGTTGAAGTTGAGACTTCCAACTAATGCATAAACCACACAAAATGAACATATAGGAAGTAGTAGATTTTCTATTATCCCCATCGTTCCATAGTTAGAATCCACATAGCCAATTAATTTAACACTTTTATCGCTTCTTGAAAAAGTTAAACTAACATTTCTAGTAGATTTCAAGTATCTCAAAATCTATTTTAAATCATTCCAATGAGTCATATCAGGACTAGACATGTATCTACTCAAATAGCTAACGACATAAGCAATATCGGGTCTAATGCTAATCATAAGATACATCACAAAACCAATAGCATTCGAATAAGACACACTTTTCATTTCATTAATTTCCAATTTTATTTTAGGGCACATATCCTTACTCAACACAAAGTGAGCAGCTAGAGGAACATCCATATCAGACATAGCAAATTTACTCAAAATCTAATCAATGTAGGAATTTTGATTTAAGGCAAAAGTGGATTTCTTTTTGTCCCTATCTAACAATATTCATGCTAAGTATTTTTCTAGCATCTCCTAAATCTTTTGTGTCAAATTTTTTGCAAAGATAACGTTGAACAAGCTCAATAAACGTTAAGTTAGGACTAATAATTAACATATCATCCACATAGATGAGAAGGAAAACAAGAACAGAAAAAGTATTCTTAAAATACAAGCAATGATCAGCATTACTTCTCTTAAAATCAAAGTTACATTTTCATGCAATTACTAAATACAATGCTCCATTACTTAGGTGATTCTTTTAAACCATACAAAGTCATTTTCAACAGACACACATGATTAGGTAATTAGGATCAACAAATCCTTCAGGTTGGTGTCCTCGATCTTGCCCTACATCGCTGGAAATCCTGCAAGGTTTTGCCACCAACCCTCCCGGTGTCACTCGCGGTGGTTGATCGCCTTAGCATCGCCTCGTTCGGGAAGGTCAATCACAGGCATGCATGCTGCTTCGTCCGATTCAAGAAAGAAGAAGAAGTTTGGTGATGATTAGGGGCGGAAAGAGGTGGTGTCCCCTATAAGCGAATACTCCGTATATATTATTTATTTGTTTGTTTATTTTATTATTAAAATATCTTTTCATTGGAAACCTTTTCGCGAGATCTCCCCAAGGACGCCAAAATCGTATATAAACATTGATTTGACGAGCAGTTTATATTTTTGTGTCAAAATAAATAAATATACTATATTTAGTTTCTTTTCTCAAAATACGGCTAAATACTAAGTCGGTTTTCAAGGAGTTACACTTATGTTTTAAAATTTCTCAGCAATTACGTACATTGTGAGTCATCCTTCTTTAGATTTACTCAAGATCTTTGGTATTCATTTATTTCTCGCAGGACTAACATGCTTTGGATTTGGCACTCTCAATGAAAGCACCAATGATACCTTCCTTCAAGCCCTAGAGCCGCCGAGATGGAGGCTCACGCAGGGAGAGGTACGGCTGGGAAGGTTTCTAGGGTTTAAGAGAGAGAGAGAGAGAGAGTTTGAGGGAAAAGAGATCTCTTATTGATTAGCAAAGTTTGAGGACCCGTTGTATATATAGGTAAAAGAGACCCCCGACCTAAAACTACTTTATCTAACCTGTCGGTTCAAGAAAGGCGTCAAGGGAAAGAACCGAAAAGAAAACCCTTGAAGGGGCTTATATTTTGCCCACCTAACAAAATCTAATTACGATAAATGTTTTAATGAATTAAGAAACAATAATAATATTAAACATAGTCGTCATAACGCTTGGGTCGTCGTGTAGTACGACGTGGACGAGTGACCCCCGTAGTTTCCTCTGCAGACTCGTGATCCTCCTCGTGCTCCACAAACGTATCCGTATCAGTATGGTCCTGGAATCTGGGTCTCAGACCCCTATGGGTTAACAGGAAAAGTACACGCAATCAATCCAGCCTGGGGCTCATGCACTATTCATCCAGCCCGGGCTCATGTAAAATTCCTAAGTTAACAGGAAAAGTACAGGTTTCACCCGATCTTTATGTTTTGATCTATTTGAACATAAGGCTCATGCACTATTCATTTATTATATTTTGGTGTTTGAGATCCAACCTCCATCCCCTTTATTAGTAGGTTCCGTTATTATATTTCATTTATAGGTGATTTTAACAAATTTACATGGACATATCCTCTTAAATAGAATTCTAAAGCTTACTATGTTTTTGTTAGTTTTGGAAAAAAATGGTTAAACCCCTACTCAATTTTAACATTTAGACTTTCAAAATGATAATAGAAAAGACTTAGTCAATATTATGTTTGGTCTTTCTTTAATACTTAGCCATCTTTCATCACACCTTCTACCCTTATACCCATGAGCAGAATGACTCAGACACAACTATTTTATTAAGATGCTGTTGCATTCCACCACGACTCTCATATGCATGTGCCTTTCTCAAAGCTCTTGTCACCGCGAAGTATCTCATCAATGATATACCCATAAAAAATCTTTCCAACAAATCTCTCTTTGAAGTTTTCTACAATTGCCCTCGTGTTTATGTTTAGTTGTGTCCTTATGGCTATCTCGTGCACTTGTTGCTTTGATTTTACGCCAAACACAAACTTCAACCTCGCTCTACGTCTTGTGTCTTTCTTGGTTATCACCCTACTATCAAAGATTACAAGTGTTATGAACGAGTTTTCCTAATTTGAATAAAGAGTTTAATTATCTTTTGAAACTTCTTAACTCCTAGCTTTACCTTATGCAAGAGTGAGACTCCAGCTAATCATGGACATGATTCCGATTCAAACTGGTACTAAAATTTGAATTGACAATTTTAAACTTGATCGAAATTAAAATAGCTAGAGAACGAGAACTGGTAAGAACTACTGGGAAGCATTCCGATTCTAATTCTCAATTTTAGATACCAGACCAATCGAAACGGGTACCGATTATGTTTATTTATTGCTAATTTTTAATTTTTTTGAGATTATTTAATGAATAAAACAAGTTGTATGAAGTCAAATAAGTAACACTTTTACCAAAACAAAATATGAGTAACAAAACTAACCACCCCCACACAAAATCCGTCCCGATTTTCCTAAGTGAAATTTGCACTAAATAGGACTAAAATATAATAATTTTCCTAATGTAGGACTTAAACTTTTTTATTCCGTAAATAGGACTTAATAATGACCTAATGGGAAGAATAATGTCCAGTAATGATGGACATTTACTTGAATAATGACTACTTGATAATGACCAAAGGTCTTATATTAGAAAATAAAAACATATGGTCATATGTTGAGAAAGTCATTATATTTTAGTCTCATTTAGGTAAATTTCTCTTTTCCTAAAGCTCAAATATCTTGGAGAAGAATTAATCCCCACTTTTCTTTCTTAGGCTGACCTGGTACCAATGGAAGGGTTCTACTGTTCCCGGGCTGCCTTCCCGCCGGTGTAAAACCCTTTGCCGGCGACGTTCGCCGCTTTCTTCATCTCTATCCATATCTAATTTCCCGTCAGAAGCAATACAACCTACGCTCTTCCACCGTCGTTCATGTCAAGAGTTTCGAGAATGAAATCGCTCCTTCTGAATGCGACGCTTCCCAAGCCCGCACCTCTCTCCACCCGTTTCCAGCAATCCATTGTTCCCCGGAGGAGAAGCTGCTTTCATCTTTCCAGGCAATTCCGCAGCCATAGCTTCTTCGTTCCTACAGTGAACCCCTGGATTGTGGTTTCTCCGCTAGGGATTTCTGCTGCTTCGGAATGGAAGGGGGTTCGGAGCTTCCAAAATGAGGCTTCGCTCCCAGAATCCGGGGAGATTCATGTGATTCTGGGGCCAATGTTTGCTGGCAAAACCACCACTCTTCTGCAAAGAATCAAAGCCGAGAGTGTTAGTGGCAGGTTTGCAGAATTCATGCTTTGTTTATTGTTTATTTGTACATTCCAGCTGAAATTCTTAGTCTGTTCTACATTGAAGACTGTACTGAGGAAATCTGCGATCATTTTTTAGGTTACTGCTTTCGTTTAACATCTGATATCCATTGTGGTCATTGCTTCGTAGTGTGTCATTTCATTTTGCTTATTATCAGATAATGTTTTTATGCAACACGAATTATATGATATGTCCAGTTGTGCCATTTCAAGCATCTGTAATAATCAAATGAACATTCTTTATAAGGGATATGAGCTGAATAAAATTGATATGAACTCGAAAATGAAAGAGTAACGGATCATTTCTAGATAAAAAATGAGCAATCGTCAAAAAGTGACAAAAATGCCACTGGATGAATGTCCATCCGGTTGTAAGATAAAAAACTTCTTTTTATTTACTATTATGGGTGTAATGCTGCTGGTATTAAGTCTCTATGCCCTGCAATTGGGAAGGAATAAATTTGTATAATGCATCTGGAAAGAACAATTTGTATGCCCATTTGTTTGTATATATGAAGGTTACTCATTTTCTTTAGAGTCCGTTTTGAACTTGGCATGTACTTGCGGAGAAGAAATAGAGGAAGATCTTATGGAAATTTGTAAAGGAAGAAAATGTTGAGAAACATAAAAATTTGGTTCAAATTCAATAAATTTATTATTCGTATATGTTCAAACTTACTCCGTATTTTGTTTAAGTTATTTTAATCTTATAAAAACTAAGATATGTAAATTTCTTTAAAAGTTTAAAAAATTATTCATATTCCATTTTCCTTTGCATTTTGTGAGGTAGCATTTCTTTTTCTTTAGCATTCTGTGGGATCCAAAAACACCACTAGGAGTATTTGGTAGATTGTAATGACTTGTAGTATAATCAGATGTGTTTTTACTGTAAGTTTTGTAGTTACATTACACTTCTAGTTGATTACTTACTAAACAACACCTGATATTATTTCTATTCTAGCTTGACGCATATTGTAAAAGACATGGGAAGAATTAAACGTGTTTGTGTTTCTTTAAAGCAGAAACGTAGCAATAATAAAGTCAGAGAAGGATAATAGATACGGATTGGACTGTATTGTGACGCATGATGGAGAAAGAATGCCATGCTGGCCTTTGTCAAATCTGTCGTCATTCAAACAGACAATTGGTTCTGGAGCATATGATAAGGCAATGACCATGTAAATGCTGTTTATTTTTATTTTACCCTTGTTTTATTTTTTGTCAACGAAAAACTCTTCAAACTTAACAAGGTATTGTAAATTGCTTTATTTGTGTATGTTTCAGTCTTTCCCTGCTAATAGGCCATGACAAGATTCCTTTTTCTTCTTTTTCCTTTGCTACTATGCACATTATTTTAGTTGGAGGTGATTGGCATTGATGAGGCACAATTCTTTAAAGATCTATACCAGTTTTGCAGTGAAGCTGCGGATCATGATGGAAAAACTGTAATTGTTTCTGGTTTGGATGGCGACTACCTAAGGTACAACATTGACTCAGGGTGTGTTTGGATTTAGGTATTCTAAAAAATTTCTTTTCCCAAAACTTCCCTTTTGTGTCTTAATTTAATTTGTTTTTGTGGTTTTGGCAGAAGGAGCTTCGGTTCGGTGCTTGATATAATCCCTATTGCGGATACTGTAACCAAATTAACCGCTCAATGCGAAGTTTGTGGGGATCGTGCACACTTTACGCTTAGAAAGACTGAGGAGACCAAGACAGAACTGATAGCCGGGGCGGATGTCTATATGCCTGTGTGTCGTAAGCACTTTGTGAGTGGCCAAGTGCTGAAAGAAGCCACTAGAGATATCATTGAAGCTCAGGTGTGTGTCCATGGCTGACCCATGTAGGCGACATCTAGTTTAGGGTATAATCGTGAACTCATTTCTATGAAACTTTTAGGCTTGGCCATGTTAGTTATGTGATTGCCTAACTTCCATGTAGAGGTAAGGTCTGCTTACACACACCCTCCCTACTTCTGTGGGATTCTACTGGATCTGTTTGTTGTAGATTTTATAATGCAATACACGCGTTTGATCTTTCATGTGTTTAGAAAAAAAATGGCATTGAAAGCATTTTCAAACGAGTTGAGCTTCGCTGCTTGTCTTAGTTGTATTCGCCTGATATTATTGTCTAACAAGCAGCTATGTTGGGGGTAGATAAATGCTTGTTGGATTCTTGATGAGTCACTGATATGCATGAAAAGATATATTATATGAGTGCATTTTTACATGGCTAAACACCACAATTGGTCCTTTAATTTTATGAATTCTGCACAATTGGTCCTTCAAGTTTCAAAAGTCCGTAAACAGTCCTTCAACTTTATGAGCTGTGCACGATTGGTTCTTCAAGTTTCAAAAGTCCATTAATAGTCCTTCAAGTACACGTCAGCCTTCCAGATGATGTCCTTTTGACGGTAAACGTTAAAAGCTAAATGGAGTACTAGCTCCATATAATACGAAGTAGGCCTACCTAATGGAATTTACTCATATTATATGGAACTAGTATTCCATTTAGCTTTTAATATTTACTGTCAAAAAGACCTCATCTGGAGGGTTGACGTGTACTTGAAAGACTATTTATGGACTTTTGAAACTTGAAGAACCAATTGTGCACAACTCATAAAGTTGAAAGACCAAGGGTGGATTTTAGCCTTTTTTACACAGATAACATATGAATAATTTTTTTTTTTGAGAAGATAATCAGCAGTAGCTTATTCGTAAGATGACACACTTTTGAGACACTTAATACTCCCTTTGTCTAAAGTATTTCAAAGAGAGATGTAAAAAGGTGAATAGTGCAAAAGGGTAAAATGGTCTTTTAGTTGTAAAAAGGTAAATAGTCTTCCTATTCAAGGAAAGGAAAAGAAAGATATTAGATTGACTAAAAAGGAAAACGAGAAGAAAGATATAGTATGAAGGGAGTATTTCAATCTCTTATCTCAGTTATTAAAACGTACTTCGTAATGAATATTTGCCAAATGCTCTTGTCCTTAAAATATTTTCCCACTTTTCTTTTCCTTCAGTCCAAAAATCACCAACTAATTTCTTCTTTGTAATATGTGCTTCACAGATTTTCCTAGTCTTCTAATAAACTTAACACAACTTATATCTTTCCAACTTCTGTGTCCGATCAAACCGGGCAATAATAACTAAGGGAAGTTTTACGCTGTACCAAAGATACATTAAAATACAATAACATAATGCTTTTGCTGCATTCAAAATCAAACTGCTCTCTGTTCATCTTCATAGACAAAAATACAAAGGTACATATGTAGATTCTCTTCTGAACCATGGGATCAGTTCTATACATTGTTGTCCTCCAGCCGCTTGATCATATTAACCACATGTCTTCCAATCACATTACCCGAAAGAGACGGTTTTTTTGTTATGAGAACCATGACAAGAGACTCGTAGAGTTTCTTATTATCTTGCTGCAGATACACGAGAACTTTGGTCTTTAAAACTCTTTGGGGAAGTTAATGAGTACTCCCTCCGTCCCTAAAAGAAGTTCTTGTATGATTACGCAGAGGAGAGAAATAATGTGAATCATTCATTCCTTTTCCTCAATGGGACTAGAACTTCTTTTTGGGACAGCTGAAAAACGAATGCATTATTGATAAAGAAAAGGAGAATAGCAGTGGTTTGGTTACCTTTGTAACCTCTAAAGCTTTCTGGACAACATAGTTTCCGAACTTATCTGATGCAAGGTGAAGGAGTGCCTTTTCCCTCTGCAGGAGAGTTCTAACAACAGATTCCATTCCAAACTCTGATGATTTCATGCAGTTCTCCACTACATGGCTGCCGCCCATTCTCTGAGCCAAGTGCATGTAATGTCTCTCCAGACGAATGCATATGGCCCGCGAGATATTTTCCTCTTTCAAGGTAAGTACATGCTGAACCACGTAGTGCCTGGTCGAAGAAATTAACCAAGAAGAAAAACCAGCTCACAAATTTGAAGGTACTTTTAATTATCAACCTGTTTAGTTATTGAGTATATATATTTATATATGTATGCATGTATGTATGTACCCCCAAGGATCGTGTGACAGGAATTCTGAATGCTCTACAATTTGCTCAAGAAGTTTTCTTCTGTGTGTCCTGCTCATGCAATCGAGGCAAATGTTTAGGGATATGCATCCATATCGGCAAGTGGCTAGTTCTATGAGGTAGTACACTAGAGCATCGTACAACACCTGCAATCCGCTCAAGTGAGTGTCATTCTCACCATACTAATAGCTTAGAATTGTCTAAAATTCTTTACTTGGTGCTAGTCTTGTGCTTGTGTGATGCCTAACTTGCCTAATAGGGCACACCTATTTCACCCAAAGAGTTATTGATCGGACACCTATCTGACCAATTGCTTTAGGGCTTGTTCTCTTCACCAGATCTGATTGATTCCGATCTGATCTGAACTGATTCCAATTAGAATAAGTTGAAGAGAACAAGGTCTTAGGGGCACTGTAGAAGTGCATAATTTGGTCATTGTATAATTGTCTGCAAAACATTGGCAGTGTCATCTGTGGTATGACTGTAGCATGACCCTATTGGCAAAACCAGATTAGTTTGTTTATGACAAAAAGTTTTGTACCCGATTCTCGTTAGGCTTGAAGGTCTTTAAGCATTGTTGCACAACATATTGGCCTTGTGCGCTAGTCATTAGCTCAAGAAACCTCTGGGAAAGAATATGCGTAATGGTTTTGCCAAAACCCAACCTTTTCAGTTTCTTGATCAGGTTCTGAATTGCAGTAGAACTGTCAAATACAGAAACCATATTTATGATTAGTAGGAATGTAAGATACCCGAAACGTGTCAGTGAACCGAAGAACATACCCGTATTTCTGACTCTACAAACAGGTGGTCATGCGAACACAATGTGAAGACGATGGTTTGAAGTTCTCTTGACTCGCAATCTTCTAGAAGCTTCCGGAAGAGATGGTGTGCAAATTCATTAGTCATGACCTCAAAGAGGTTGGCAAGAATACCCTTGAAAATCTGTTGCCTGAGAACATGATTTCCCTCATCCAGAAACCTCTGCAACACCATGGAACCTTCCATAGTTTTAGCAGCCTCCACAACTGTGTTTCTAGGACTTGTGTAACCATAACCATTGTGTGATGCTCCACAAGACATATCCCATGAAGAATACAATCCCTCATGACTGTTCCATGAGTCATAATCTATGCAATAGTCGTTGTTAACTTCTGTCCGTGTTTGACCCGACACGTTTCTTTTAAACAAATATGCTGCAATTTTGGTGATAGTCGCGTTTTTGAAATTTTGGCAATTTTAGTTCTTTTTATATATTACAAAATCTTGTTTTTTTGGTCTAAAAATCGCATGTGTCACCTTCATACTAATACTTTAAGTGATTTACACAAGTAATACCAAGTCAAATTAGACACATTTCGATTATCAATTAAGTAGAGTAAACTCTATTGTATTCCGTAAATTAGTACAAAAATAATTTCATTATATTTATCTTGTAGAAAACTTTAAAAAAATTATTTCATTGTACTGTATTAATTAACTGACCTTTAAAACTTTTAGAGACTATTTGTTAAGGAATCAAATCAACCAACCAGAGGCAATGACTCCAAAAGTTAAACCAAAAATTATATGAACTGCGCATGCATGCAATTACGTACCTAATGTCGGAGTTGCAGGGGGATTGTTGCGAGCCCAAATATTGGGGGAATAAAAGTTATTATCATTATTATTAGTCTCATAATTGCCCCAATTTGTTGTCGAATGCGCGGCAGAACTAGAACCGGAACCAGAACCGGAGTGGTGTTCGTTGAGATTCATGCTTGCGAGTGAACGAAGAGCTTCTTCTTCTTCTTCTTCATCATCGTAGAGCTGGTTATTAGGGTTAGCAGGGTTTAAGGTTGCCATTGATCTTGATAAACCACCCACCCACCCTAGGAAAAAAAACAAAAGCTAGAATTCAATGAGAAGAAGCTTTGGCTTTTAGTTGAGATTTATAAAAATTTGAATGAATATTGACCAGTTAAATGTAAATTTAGGAAATATTCTTTAAGAAAATAAAAAATATTAGTAATATACTTTTGTATTATAATGGCAAGTTGAATATGAATGTAAGAAGTACCCGGAGTATTCTTTAAAAAAAACACTACTGGGTAAATATAGTTTTGAATCCAAACCGTATTGGGTTGAATCACATGGTCCTTGTTGACTTAGGAATCTAAAACCCGGGCCGAGCTTTCTAATTGCATTAATTGCGTCCTATTCCTCCTCCAAATGCTTCTATTTTAATACGAGAATTTTAATTTTAATTTTTTATGAATTCTATACAAGTTTAGAATTATTCAATCCAGACTTTTAAAAATGAATAGAAATAGAGGCGTTCACTATATACCTAGAATTAAAGAACTCATTCATATATTTTAAGAAATTATTCATATTTTTAAATGAATCATTAATATTTGCTTCTTTATTTTATTAATCATATATAATCACCTGATTTTGAACAATTGTTTTCTGTTTTCCTACCGAACTGTCTAAGGATTTGTTCTTTTTCGGTTGGAATAGGTTGAATGTTTGAAGGAAATGGAAGGAGTGGGAAGAAACTGGAAGATGTTATAATCAGACTCTACTTTTTTTTGTTGGAGAAATAGAGTTGTATGTTGGAAAAAAGCGGAAGGAGTTGAAAAAAATTACTAGGAGTTAAAGAAACTAGAAAGAGTTCGTAACATTTTGAAAGAGTTAAAATAACTACTCCGTATTATATTTTATAAATTTCATATGTTATTTAAAAATTTTATACTCTACTTTTTAAATTTTTAGTCTCTTTTTCTTTTCTTTTATGTCATTACTATGTACATTTTATCCCAAATCGTATTTATAATTTTTTTGTGATTCACACTCTTTTTTTACTTTTTAAAATCAATATCAATTATATTTTTCGTTTTTTCAATTGTATGTCACTAATTCATGTAACAAAAATAACAAGACAAATGAAGTCATACTTTGTACTCCCTCCGTCCCCAAAAGAACTTCCCTTATTGACTTTTTGGGAAATTAAGGGAGTGATATTTTGGTGTTGACTTTCCAAAAATACCCTTGATGTGATGGATAAAAGTAAGATGTGATGGATAGATTATTAGTAAAAAGATATGATGTGATAGGTAGGGTATGAAAAAGTAAGGGGTAAAAGTGATTTTTTAACGGAAAAGAGAAGTTCTTTTAGGGACAAAGAAAAAATGAAAGGATCTTTCGGGGACGGAGGGAGTATTAATCTTAGTTGATAGAAAAACTGGACTTAAAAATATAATGATTTGTTGACCATTTAGAATCTCAGACGTTACCAACTCATCTAAAATCAATTGATGTTAAAAAAAGTGCATACCCTAGCCTTATAGTGCTTTCAGCATATATACACAAGCACCCACGACATTCGAATGTGAGTTGGTCTACGTAGCCTCCGCCACAGAGCAATTGATGCACACATGACCAAAAGATCAAATAAATAATCCTACATTACAATAAAAGGCGCCAATTCATTACCTTAAAACTTTAAGTATTTCATTTTTTGTACTCCCTCCGTTCTCAAAAACACTTCCTCTTTCATTTTTTCCACTTCCAACAAAACACTTTCCCTTTCTATTAAAAAACGACTTTTACCCTTACTTTTTCATACCCTACCTATCACATCACACTTTTTTTCTAATAATCTATCCATGACATCTTACTTTTACCCATCACATCAAGGACAAAATTGGAAATCAACTATAATTTAACACTTTCTTATTTTTGCCCCCAAATCAAAATGGGAAGTCTTTTTGCAAACAGAGGGAGTATGTCTTAAGAATATTAATTTTTTTATTTTTAAAATCTTTTTTTATTTTATAAAATTCAAATAGAAACTTTTTGTGCAACAATGGTAGTTTTAATCTACATCCCACATATGCACATTCAATAAATAAAGAATATTAATTTTACACCATTATTTCTTCGCTTATTAAATCTCCTGAATTTGGAAAATGTCAATGTCGGAATTTGACATCTCCTTCAACCCTCAACCATCCCCCACCGGGCGGCTACCACTGCCACCGCCAACGACTTCTACTGTCGCGGACTCTTGCCTATCACTATTTAAGTCATGATTTTAAATCTTTATAAACAACTTCGTTTCAGATTTTAAAATTCATTTCATTCCTCCCAAATTACAAAATCTATATCATATCATATCTTCAGAATTCATCAAACATGTTCTTAATGGTTTAATTTCACACAAAATTTTTAAAAAAAATTGAAAAATAAAAGGTGTTGTTAAAATTTGTTAATCTAAAGAAAAAAAATTAAGAGTATGGATTTTAAAATTTAACAATTCAGCAGCTATGCACTTGTCATGGAATCCGTCTATATGCAATTGCTTTCTTTCTTTCTTTTCAATGGGGGGGGGGCGAGACGAGAGTGTTAAAAGTTTCATTTTTCTTTCCCGCACCGTATTTATGACCCCATTTTTCTCCTCTTCATGAAGAAACCGCTTGTCTTTGGTGATCAAAATGGTATGTGGTCCTTGCGAGCTCAGGGGCCGAGATGCATGGTGCATTTTCGAAATTTTAAATAAATTTCTAAAATTCAGTGTGCATCTCCGCCTCCTGAGCACGAAAGAATTGCAAATCATAATTACTTTTTTTGTCTCTTTAAATTCAAAGTGATACTTCCATTAAGTACTCAAGAGATGGGATAATTGTTGGGAAACCAACTCAAATTCTACACCAAATGGAGAGAAGAAACTAACCAACGGTATTCACTCAATTTTGGGGGCTTGGTTGAGGGGGATGGGGTGGGTAGGGTTTGGGGTGGGAGGGGGAAGGGGTGGTGGTGGTTATAAGAGGTTAAGAGACCAAGAACCATTTTAGAGTCGAACCGAGTTTCGTATGATGCTTAAATTGGCTGGTGTCATTTCAATCGGACTCTATAAATTAAGTACTATTATTAAAGTAAATTTTCAAAAAGGTCTTTTGTAATAAGGTACAAAAGACGTTTGGTGAATTTGTAATATCTTGAACAAACATACACTCCGTACGTCCAAACTCGTTAAAAACGTCAATTAAAATTCTCATCCATTCTAAGTCAATCCAGTTATATAAAATTGTCAATAACTCAAAAGTCATCAACAAAATTTTAACATTTGTTTCCAATGTCATGGGAACCAAGTCCTATCAAAAATTTTATAATATTTATTTATTTAAATTATGCTCCCTCCGTCCATAAATAAAGTTCTCATTGCGCGTTACGAGGTTTGACTGAAGTTATTTTCAAATCATTTTATATGAAAAATGGTATGGAATTAAAAATAAAAATTACATATTTAAGAACTACATGAAAAGATCTACAAAACTAGATGTGACTTGACTAATACTCCGTATTATTTTATCAAATAGGACACGAAAATCGGGTAACAAAGTGGATAAAGTTTGACTTTGTGAATAATATACGAGAACTTTATTGTTGGACGGAGGGGGTATCTAATTTATGGTCAAATAATGTCACAATTTGACAAAAAAAGTCAAAACATGAAAGGATTTTTGGAACGAAGTATTATTACTTATCATATCAAATCAAATCAGAAACAGTTTTAGATAAAAACTTAAAATTTTGAATGTACATGGGGGGCAATGAGGTTCGAACTTACAACTTCTCGAATACTCCATTCGTCTCATATCTTTCTTCTCATTTTGACTTTTAATCTTTTATGGTGAATGTTTTTAAACTTTGATCACAAAATCCAAAAGAAAACCAACATAGTTGGTGTGGTGGTTCAGCACCTCATTCCTTAAGCATGAGGTTAGGGGTTCCATCCCTTACCCAGGTGAATGAAGCAAACTATTTGGCCCGTCCCAAACCGCTTAATGCGCTGACCGTAGGGACTGAGGATTAGTCATTGGCTATCGGCCGGAGGAAAACAAATTGGTGTGTGTCATCTTTGTATAACAAATGTAAAGCATGGAAAGGGAGGAAAAATGGTTAATACTCTGCAAAAGTTTAGAGTGTATGTGTATATATATATATATGTGTCAAGAAACTTGAGTGTAAATGCTCATCTTCTCAATGATTTTACCGCTCTCTGTCACAGGGCGAATCCAATGCCGAAATGGTCTTCTTGGCTAGGCCTTTTGGCGCGGAGTTGAGGGCTCGTGCAAGACGTTTCAAATCAATCAACCGTATCCGTGTCCATAGTTTACCTGAGGTTGAGTTGCAAATACAAATCCCATCAGCCACATTAGTCTCAGCTCTATATACTGCATTTCTTGTTGCTTGTAATGTAAAAGCACTTTTTTTGCAAGATAAAGATAGTGTGTCTACACAATGGGAAAGAATGGGTTTTTAGCTTTTATAGAGTTTATATTAGAGTACATTTGTGGAACTAAAATCACAGAAATGGTGTTTTTTTTGGAAGAGTGCCTATTTGAAAACAAAGTGACTTCTTAGATGTTTTCCAAATAGACACCTAGAACATAGCAATTAAAAATGACTAAAACCAACACCAAAAAGCACAACAAAGTGTAAACAAACTCACACTTATTGGCAGCAGCAATATCACAGCTCTTGGCTATCACTTGTGATCCAACGTGTTGATCATCGCTGCGCACCTCGCAAGATGGGCAGTTTAGTAATCTCGCGAGATGTCTAATTTGGCAAAAACGCAACCCTTTCGGGCAATGGTATTTCACGCGTGCCGTTCCCTCCTCAATGATGCCACCTGCACAACACCAAACAAATTTCTGAACCCAACTAATGGAACAGTAACACGAACAAAGTAAACCATACTCAAAAGTCGATAGCCCGTTTCCACGACAGCCCCGCGTCAAACACAAACACACAAACCAAGTAAACACAGTAACACGAACAAAGTAAGCAAAGTAAGAGCGAAGAGACACGAAGCCCACAAACCAACACTAGGAACTAGACTCAAAGAACAGAAAATCAAACACACATCCACAAGTCATAGACTAGGGTACAAATACACCATCATAAACTACAAACTAAGACCAAGAAGTCTACCAAACTACTATAATCCTAAATCTCTAAACAAAAAGTAGAATTTTTTGTTTACCAAGAGGGTTATTAGTGGTTGATGGGGATGCCTCAAGAAGTCTTTCATGGTCTTTGTTTGCACATTCAAGTTGGGGAACTTCATTGTAAATCACCATGGCTTGAAGGTTTTCGTCGTCATCTTTGTGGAAATTAGTAATAAGGTCAAAATGAGGAGGAGGAGGAGCCACCGTGAAGGAGGCTCTTTCTCTTCTGAGCTGGTAATTTCTCCGGCGCCTGGCGAGATGCCTCTCGCGCTCTTCTTGGCTCATGGATTGCCTTCTCTCGCGGTCCCGCATTCGCCTTCTCTCCCTCTCCTTTTCCTTTTGCACGTCGCGCCAGTTCTTCATCGCCACCCAGTTTTGATTCTCTGATGAACATCCCTCCACTGCCCCCATTTCCACCCGGGAATCATCAACTTCAATTCTTTCAACAAAAAATAAGAAAAAAATATAGGAAATTAATGGGTTTTCATTGACAAAAAGAATGTGTGGATTGCATGGCGTTAGGGGGTGGGTGGGGGGGGGGGGAGATTGATCATGATAAATGCATCTCTAGGTTTTAAAAAAAATCACCCAAATTTAATTTCAATAAATTATTTCGAAAAACAAAGAGTATTGAATTTACAAGACATGTTTGTCTTGAATCCGAAGAATCTTTATTGAATAATGCATAAGAAATCTTGTCAAAGAATCAGAGGGAGAATAATTTTACAAAAGAAATAAAAAGATCACATTTTTGGGGATGGTGACCGGTTTAATTTGATCTCATCATATAAAATCCATGAAATGTGAAATCAAATTTTGTGCAGGAAAAAAAAAGAAGATTAAATAAATAAATAAATACACGAATGAAAGGGGTGGTTTTGTGGTAATAACGTAATGTTGTGGAAAAGAAAAAGATTGAAAATTTACAAATGAGAAATGGAAGAAGAAGGAAGAAGAAGAATCTGCGCTGTGTAATTTGACAGTGAAGAATAAGATTAGCTGATTAGGCAGATGTTTGGTTAACAAACATTTAAGCAATTAAGAAGGAAAAATAAAATAAAATGAATTTATCTCATTTTTCTCTTTGAAATCGAAGAAATTTTATTTTCTCTCTTCTTTTGACATCTTATTTTCTTTTCCTTATATTTTTCTTTTCTATTCCTTTAATCTCTAACAAAAAAATACTGTTTCATTTTACATTCTTTTCTTTTATATTTAAAATTCTTTGAATTGAGTATAGTGTAAACGAAAAAAAACAAAAAAAAGGGTTAATACCCATTTTGATTCCTCGCGAGTGAATTTGGTATCTATGTGTTTGCGACAAATCAAATTAATCCATGTAACTAAAAACTGTGGAAAAATTAGTTCGTCCCACAAATTTTTTTAACGATGTTATAAAAAAACTCAAGTTAGCACGTTAAAATTGAGGTTTAACTTGGCATGTTAATTGCATCATTAAGATAAATTTCTTTGTAGACTAACCTATGTCTTAGTTACAAGGACTAATTTGGTTCAATGTTAACATACGCGGAAGTAGACTTCAGAAGGACTTAGGCTGCATTCCGTTCGTCTGATTACAATTATAACTAAAGCTATTTCTAATCTGATCTGGTTTGATCTTTTCTGATGATAACAAGAATAAGTAATAAGCGGAAAAAATAAGCTGAACGGAACGCTATCTTACTCTATGGAATTACCAAAGACTCGTCCTGGACCGAGGACCAGACCGATTTGGACCAATCCCCTCTACCCGTAAATGGGCGGTTTATGGATCGATACCTTTCGGGTCGGTCAGTCGGGGAACGAACACCTGCACTACAAGCTCTTGAAATTTTCTTCTAAATCACCCAATGTAAAAAAGAAAAACACTTGCCAGGAGATATAAACAGAAGACTAACAGTAATACCAACAGCTGCAGTTCATATGAGAACCCTAACAAAGAGGTTTTAACTACACAGATTTTTACACAGTTGAAGAAGAAAACTCTCTCTCTCATGGATGAAGAAACCTCAAACAATACTCATCATATCATCTCCACGCCGAACAAGTCGAAAGCGCCCTCGCCTTCCACCCGAGACACAGCGTGCCCTCGCTCTCTCTCATCCAGTAATTCGGGCTGTACTCCCGCAGGACCTGCGCCACGGCCTCCGCCACCGAGGGGCCCAACGGGCAAGGGGCGAACCCGGCCATCGTCATCCTCATCCTCCACTTCCCGAACACCTCGTGCCTCTCCACCCGGTCCCCGCCCTCGCACGCCACCAGGTTGACCACGTCCCGCGCCACGCAGTGCTCCTCCGCGCTGATGCGCCGCCCGTCGTCCCGCGGGTGGGCCCCGCCGTCGATCGACTCGAACATCGCCGAGTAGTAGTCCACCGTCTCCCGGAACCTCGGGAGGAACGGGGCGGTGTTGGTGTTGGCTTCTTGCTCCACGAGGGCGACCGCCCTCGGGGACAGCCCCTTCACGAGCCGCAACAAGCGGTCCCGGTGGTTCGCGGTCGACACGCCCTCGTCCGGCATGTGGTGCAGGAAGTACGGGAAGTTCACGGCCAGCGCCTCTCCGGGCCCCACGCGGAGGCTCTCCGGCTCGACCTCGGACCCGGAGATGGCCGCCGCGTGGAACTCGAACGGCACCCCGCACGACGCGGCAAACTTCGCGACCCTCTCGCCGACCAGCGCGAGCCCCCCGCCGCGGGCCCGGGCGGAGTTGGGGTCGTCGACGCCGGTGAGGCGGAAGAAGGGGGGCCCGCCGGGGCGCTGCGAGAGGGCCTTGATGAAGAATATCCACTGGCTCCCCTGGGCGATTTGGAAATCGATGACGTGGACTCGGTCCTCGCGGGCCACTGCCTCGCCGATGATGACGTTGGACGTGACGTAAGCGAACTTGTAGTAAGGGCAAAGATGGTACAACACCTGCATGTACGACATCAGCTCGGGACCGGTCGGTTCGTTGCAGTTCAGCTTCTTGTAGATCGTGCTGCCCGACGACAGTAGGCGCGCCCTGAGACCTTCCAACAGGTAAGCACTCAGCCTCTGGAAGGGATCCCCGGAAACCGACACCCTTTTCTCCAACAAACCCATGAAGAATTCTGCTGTTGCCACGTCAGCATCCGCAACCGCTTCTGCACAGACGTTAAGAAGATCCTTTGTGTCCAGACTCGGGGCTATCTCCCGTATCTGCTTCCACCTGGTTGAGAAAGAAGATGTCTCTGAAACAGCATCACCGAGGGACTGTTCTGAATCCGGAAGATACTAGGGAAGAAAAACAAGAAAAAGGATCATTAATAAAAATGTGGGTAGATTAATAAAAACTCAAATACAAGAAAAAACCAAAAAATATTTAATTTTCCTCAACTCCCACATTTTATTTTTTCCCGAGCATTTCTTGTGGTCCAAACATACACATTAAGGGCACGTTTGGATCCCAAGAAACGCAAGGGGAAGGAAAACATGAAGAGGAAAATAGGAGGGGGGAAATGTTTCTTGATGTTTTAATACGGGCTAAAGCTCGATAGATGTATCAGATAAAGAGTTGGAGATTTAAATATATGCAACAATAATGTAATGCAAAAATCATACTCCCTCCGTCCCTTATTGATTTTTTGGGAAATTAAGGGAGCGATACTTTGGTGTTGACTTTCCAAAAATACCCTTGATGTGATGGGTAAAAGTAAGATGTGATGGATAGATTATTAGTAAAAAAGTATGATGTGATAGGTAGGGTATGAAAAAGTAAGGAGTAAAAGTGGTTTTTTAATAGAAAAGGGAAGGAGTTAGTGGGACAAGAAAAAAAGAAAGGGGAAGGAGTTTAAGGGACGGAGGTGGTATTTCGTTAACTGTTTTTTTCTCGGAGATCCAAAACGTACCGTGAAGGAATAACTGCTGGTATCATTGTACATTTCAGAAGTGGGACCCATCAACCGGTTCTCCAGTTCGCGCAACATGTGCATCAGCTCATTGCCACCATCAACAACACCGGAAGAACCACTTAAGGGGGACCCGGAAGTGTTATTGTCCGATGATAAGGCACTCCAGTTTGAGGAAAAGCTGGCTGTGGTGGTGGGGGTGGTGTAGGGGGTGGTGGTGGGGGAGCCATAAACCCCGCAGTCGACCGTGGGCGATGAGTCGAGAGTGAAGAACTGCCCGGTGTGGGCCCGGAACAACGTTTGGTTTATGTTTTCGTCCGAAAAGTTTTTGGAAGCATGGGAAGCAATGGTGTAATATTGATCTTCAACTTTCTGCTTCTTAAGCTGTTGACGGTAGGGCCCGTGGAGAAGGCCTGACGACGACTGGGGTGCCTCGGTAGTTCGCATCTCGAGAGCTTTGACTTCAGCACATTAACTTTGACTTTTATTGATCACAGCTGGGAGTGTATCGACCATGAAACCAAGAAAACCTGCACACACACACAAATGTCAGTTTCAAAAAAATACTCGTTTTCTTTTTCGGGAAGTCCTATGGAAAACTTTGCGTGGCTCACAATGTTTCTCTCTCATCTCCATCACTTTCAACCGCACATTTTCACTTTCCTTAAACTTTGTGTCAAGTCAAACTGAGACCCTATTTTGGGATGGGGCGGAGAGAGTATTAAATAGGGTCAGTGAAGGATGTTTGATGTTTCACCCCTACTAAGAAGTAGAGACTGTTTCCAAGAAACCCGGACTTAAACACAGAAGCACAGACAAAGTAAACACAATCGCACAAACAAAGTAAGAGCAAAAAAACAAGAAACAACCAACACTAGCAATTAAACCCAAACTACGAATTGGGGCAAAAAAACACGCGAGCATAAACTACAAACTAAAGCTAAAAGTTCTACCCAAGTACTCTAATCGCGTCCCTATCTAATGCCACTCGATACCCTGACTTTTTTTGGCTTCATTCGAGCTTGTCGAATGCAGGTGAGGTGATGGTTAAAACTTTCTCGGAGTCGATCAACACAAAAGAAATATGGCAGATCCAATAGGACTGGAAAAAATCTTAGAGATTATTAACGTTGACAAGTATGAAGTATTAAACCATTTCTTGAGAACTACGGAGTAATAACTTTGCTCTTAATCGCGGTGAAAAGGCACTGCAGAAATACAAACATAAACAAAACCATCCCATAACAATAACAAAACTGCAGAAATACATATCTGGGAAGCATTTGTACTGTGAAATCCAACAATTTTACACATTTTATCGGAAAGTGGTGAGTTCTTTGTCATGTAATTAAACAATTCAATGAAATAAAATCAATCTTTGTGAAAAAATTTACTGCTCCATAAAAATGAGAAAAAATAAATAAAATCCCGCTGAGGGTAGCCAAAGCTCTCAAACTAACCCACAATCCAAAACACACCTGCATCATGATGAACAGACCCTTTTATTCTCAATCGAACAAACCAGGAATCTGCAAGCTTTCAGAAAAAAAAGGGAATCTGCACAAGAACAAAGAGGAATCAAATTCAAGATCAGAAAAGCTTTCATCTCAAATCAATGGAACCCCCTACTAATATCTTCACTGTCCTACCCATTCCAGTCATGCAGAACACGATGATGAAGACTCAAGAACCAAATAAACACGAAGCCCAGAAATCAAGAACATGAAATTCGCAGAAATGAGATGTTCATCCCAAGATTCTTCGAAAGCAGAAGCCCAGGACCCTATGAATTACTAAACAATTAACGCCCAAATCATTAACACATGAACACAAACTCCATCCGATTTCCAAGATCAACCCATCGACCAAAAGAAAGAATCGGAATTTCAGCTCTAATCAACTTAAAACAAGAACCCCACAACACAATTACCCAAATCAGTCGATAAAATACAATCTTTATACCATACTGACGAGGAAAAAATGATGATTAAATAAAAAAGGGAGTCAACATACATGCCTGAACGCAAGAACTTTAGTGAAATCTACAGATTCTAGTAGGTTTTTAATAAATCAAAAAAGAAGATAATAATAACAATTATTATTAGTTTATTACGGAGTATTAGTTTCCTTTGAATGGATGAGACGAAGATAGACTTCTGGAATACGCTTGAACGGCTCCAAGCAGAATCCGAGGGAGTGTATTAACACACTTTACCTTTGGATTGTGACACTAATGCCATTGTTTTTTCATGTTAATTACGCAATATACCCCTGACAGCTGTTGAGTCTTCAAATCCGCCGGCCGATTTCCGAAGGGCAATTGCGAGTGATTTATGGCAATTTTTTTAAAAGAAAAAAAGAAAAGGAAAGAATATACTAAATCCCGATAATAAAAAATTAAAAATGAACTCAGTTAGTCAGCATAGGTCCATAAATGAATTATGTACGGTACATTTAAAAAGGTCAGCACTACTTGCGCCCCAATGTTCCATCCCAATTTTAAGTGGTTGATGACATAAGAGATGACACATAATGACATGAGAAAGGCTTGCACATTTGTAGCTAGCTACTTAGAGCATGTGCAATGGCAAGGAAGAGGCATGTCATGCACTACCACATCAGCTTCTTTCACACATATCATGGCATGGCAAGGCCAAAATGCCTTGCTTTGTGAGTTTTGTGAGGCATGAGTGTGGCACTCCATCCTTCTTATTTTATTTTTTTTAAATAAATTTTTTTAAAATTTTTTATTAAAAAAAAAGTGCAAAAAAGTAGAATAATTTTTTAATAAAATAAATAATAAAAATAGTTTTTTATGTTTAAAAAACATAAAAAATGTAAAAAAGTGATAAAAAATAATGACTTGCCATTGTAGAACTTGACACTCCATTCACTTGCCACACGCTGACTAGACTATTTTTGATTGGTTAAAATGTTCCATGTCACCGTGTGGCATTCCATTTTTGCCTTGCCATTGTTCATGCTCTTAGAGCACGAGTACTACCCATAACGCTAGGGGGCGTTTTTTTCGATTTTAACGCCTCCTGCGTTAACCACCGCCCCTCTCCCGTTATCCCACCGTCATCTTTCTTGCGTCTGAATTTTGACGCACGCTGGAAGCCTATTTTGGCCGTTGGAATCCCCCAGATAACGACAATAATGCCGTTGGGGTTAAAAAAATTCTTCTCATCCCTCTATAAATTCAATCTATTTTTTTAAAATTTAACTCACCCTACAAATATAAATATCTCTCTCCTCTTTTTTTAAAAAATTATAGTATTTTTTTATTTTTAACATGGATCCCTTCGGTTTTAACATTTCTTCCTCTGGTCTCGAGCCAAACGAGGAAATGGTGTGGATTTTCCAATCATACGCAGGTAATTCATCGATGTATGATACGCAAACCTCGGTGAATCTCCAGGACCTAGAGTTGGTTTCGAAGACTTAAACAAAACCAAGTGCGCGCCAGAAGAGTCACAAACTGAAGAACGACAAGCCGATGACCGAGGCAGCGTTGTCCATTCAAAAGTAGACACCAGAGAAAGAGTCATTGTTGGCGTTCGCTTGGGTTGGCGTCTCCGAGTATCCTATCATTGGTAAAATTTACTCCCTCTGTCCTTGAGTATTTGTCTACTTTTGACTTTTTTTGGTCAAATTTGGTAAACTTTGATTTCAAATTAAATAAAAATAATATTAGACATTGACACAAAAATAATTTTATAAGATTTATTATATCAAATGTTTTCAAAATATCATTTTATCTAATTCATATACAATATATATTTTATTTAATAATAGATCAAAGGTTGAAAATAGTTGACTGGAAAAAATCAAAATTGGACAAATACTCAGGGATGGATGTACTATATACTTTTAAATATATATTGTATATATATGTCCCTTTTTATGTATTTGTATTAAAAAAATTGTTCAATTATATATTTCTTAAAGGTTCCGAACAAACGAAAAATGCGATTTGGGATCGTATCGAGGAAAAGTTTTTTGCGGCGATGAAAATTTCACAAGAAATGAGTTGAAGCTTTAACTTGGGATCGTATTGAAAATTTCTCTCTCTATCACGTCAGCTTTAACTTACCTCACCGTTTCACAGGAAATAAATTGAATCTCTGGGGCTTCAAACTGTAACTTCAAACCTTTAATTTTTAATACATATTTTGTAAAATTAAATTAATAAAACTTCATTAATTAATAAAATTTAAATGATAATAATTCATTAAATAAAATATTACATTAAATAAAAAATTAATTAAAAAACACATTAATAAAAAAAGGCAATTTATATTTGGTCTTGATCTCTTTTTGTCTTTTCTCGTAAAGCGTGCGTTTGAAGCTCGTTAACGTATCAAGGTCGGTTTCTATTGTTTCAACCTTTTCCTTCTCCTGCCTTCGTATCTCCCTCTCTTCTTCACTAAGATTGAGCACCCGTAGTTGTTCAACCATTGCCTGACAGATATTGTTGTGAGATGAAATATATAGAGTCGGACTCTATAGAACCCGAGGCATGGATTTGGCCTTCTTTTTTCTGATCAGCCATGGAATGGGGTCCTCGTCATTCGAGTCATCTAGGTTAGAGGAAAGCCTTTGTTTTGACGAGCCAATATTGACATCGACCTCAACTCGACAGAGGATCTTTTCTTTGACGATCCGGCCTCTAGGTTGTTTAGTTGTTGCCATTTTGGTGAATGGCTTAAACTTATCCAAAGATCGACAGAGACCTTGCCTTGTTGTCTATCGTCTTGATACCGAGCGGTGGTTTGCCGCAAAACATCGACATCATTCATCCTGCTCTTCTAGGACCGAGAGCATTCCTCGTAAACTTTGAAAAATTTTCAAACTTTACGGTTGATGTGACCCTATTTGGATGTGAGTTGGTCTCAGATTTGTGAGGAGGCTTCCTAGTTCATCGCCACAAAGAACGTAACTTCTCCTCGATATGATCTCACATCGCGTCCTTTGTTTGCTCAGAACGAACCTTTAAGAAATATATAATTCAACGAAAAAAATATTTTAAAACAAATATATAAAAAATATATCTATACAGCATATATTTAAAAACATATAAATTTAATCAACAATATGATACTCCGAGCTGTCAACACAAACCAATGCCAACAACGATGCTTCCTCTGGCATCCACTTTTGAATGACTTGTGCCTTCTCGGTCATCGACTTGTCGCCCTTCGGTTTGTGACTCTTCTTGCATGTATTTTTTTCGATGCACTTGGTTCCGGTTGAGTTTCCAGAACCAGTTTTGGATCCTCGAATTCACCGAGGGTTGCATATCGAACATCGATAGATTAATTCTGTAGGATTGGAAAATTCACGTTGCTTGCTCGTTTGGCTCGAGACTGGACAAATGAACGTTATAAACGAAGAGATTCATGTTAAAAATAAAAAATACTTGAATAATTCTTTTTTAGAAAGAGAAGAGAGAGATTTATGTTTGTGGTGTGTTGAACTTTTAAAACATAGAATAAATTTATAAAGGAGGACTTTTTTTATATTAAGGACATTATAGTCATTGTAGGGGGTGCCAATGACTTTTTTGAGCCTGAAAGCAGCGTCAAACGTTTGACGCTTCCAAGATGACGTTGGCTTAACAGGGGAGGGGTGATGTTTAACGTTGAGGGTGTTTTAATCAGAACCCACCCCCTAACGTTAAAGGTGTTTCCAGTTCTCTAAGGATTGTAAAACGAATGAATAATTTGATTCGATTTGTGTTTCGTATTTGAAATTAATGATTCGTATTCGAAAATATTAATGCAAATAAAAATATAAGTATTTTTAGAATTCAAAAGAAAATGAATATGAATACGAATGCATATGTATTCGATTCGATATGTTAACAAATATATTTGAATTTAAATACCCTATAAAAATTTATCCTAATATACTTATTTCATAAATACAGAGCATAGTATGCAGAGTACTCCATAATAAAATTTTGACTAAAAATGTTATAAAATTAGTTTCAAAATCTTAAACGAGAAACAAAAGTTAATAATACGAGATAAAAAATAAAGAAAATGGTAAATGAGCTTTAGTTCAAAAAAGGATAAAATGTTTTCCTAATTTTTGTCTCATGTAAATGAACCAATAATGGTCGATCTCTTTTGAACAAAATATTAAAATATTTAATTAGAAACAAATTAAATGTACGATAATTCTTTTTTTCATTAATTTTTTATTTCAAACAAAAAAAATAGCTTTAAAACATTATAAATAATATTTTTAAAAAAGAAGTTACAAATTATTTATGAAAAAGGAATGAAAACACAATAAAAAAAGAGGAGACATTAGTGCTCATTTTCAAAAGCATATGAGGCAATAGAGTTACAAACATAAGATTTGAAAGGTATCTTAGTCTAGAGGGGCATTAACGTAGGATTATCACGTACTGAATCAATACCGAAATTTCTCAAAAAAAAACGAGATGATTGGTATTTTATCGATTCGATAAAATACCAAAAAAAAAACCGTATCGTATCGAATCGAATGTTCGGTCCAGTATTTGGGATCGGTACGAGTTAACTTCTCATATCGAAAAATCCCGAACCAAACATATATACAAATACTTTAATTTATAAAAATAACAATGTTTTTATATTTCTTCATTAAAAATAAATTAATTTTGAAAAGTTGGTTCAACTGTAGATGAATTACAAATAATCTTGTATTTATATACTCATTTATTTGAATTTTATTTTTTGTAGATTTATATAAAAAATTAACAAATATTTGAAATGTTATTTTGTTATCATTCATTATCTTGTGTTTGTGAAATATGAAATATAAACTAAACTAAGTTTTATAATTATTTTTTACATTTAATTATTCATTTTTCAATTGTTTATCTTTCTTTTACTTGAATGTACTTTCGACTTTTTTTTAAAAACATTTTGTTCATTCCAAAGTGTAAGCTAGGTACATATATATATTTGATGGATGCCTAATATTTTCCCTTAGGATTGTTGATCGGTCCAGGTCCAAATATTAATATCTAGGCCTTATAACAGTTAGAAAGTAAGAAGGAAAGGGCAATGGATCGTGAATAAATGCACAACACTCAATGAATTAACTCAAATCGGGGGCTCTTTCGATATTCGATTCACCTTTGGATCGAAATACTCTATAGGACCGCAAGAATATTCTTCTATTACTCAAGTCTTTTTCTCTGTTACAAGTCATCTCTACTGTCTAAATTCTTTCTCCTTTTATAGGAGCGTTTCCAGCCACCAACTTATCAATATATCCGCGGTGGTTGAGAAATTATCTGGGAAATCCTTCTCTTTCCCAGAAATATCTTTCTGAGCTTAAAGCCATTCACTTGGGGACAAATCTGTCGTTCGACTGATATTCTCTGTTCATTCTGTCTCAGAAATAATCATCCGTCCCTCTTAATAGGACGACGCACGTACCCTAATTTACTGGTGCGGGTCCTCTTTCTTTGGGCGACCCGGTCTTAATGGGCTGAGATCCAGTCCATCTCTTGGGCGCCCAATCTTCCTTTTGGCTTGCCTCTTTAGTTGGACAGTTGTTCTTATCGGCCAACTATATTATCTCTGGGCCGAATCTTTCTTTTAAGGTACAGATTTTAACTTGAGCTTTGTACATATCTTTGGCCCAAATCACTTATAATATCTCAGTGGGCTTGGTTCCTATCAATATTAATTCCAATTTTTACCGAAACCAAAATCGGACCATATCAAACTGATATTTTGGGATCGGGATCGGTACGATGTAAAATTCCATATCGAACCAAAATATTTGGTACAATATCGATACAAACTAAATATCGTACCATACCTTGCCATGCTCATCCCTAATCAAAATTATGAGAGACAATGACGTAAATTTTGAAACTATAGGGGGTGACAGTGCAAAAATTACCAAACCACACATGTTATTAGTGTAATAAATACTTAACACCAATGTTCCCATGACATTGGGAACCAATGTCATGGAAACCAAGGTGGATACTTAAAAACTACATAAAAAGTTGTAAGAAACAAAGGGTGATATGACTATATTATTTTATCAAAACATTAACAAAAATAGTGAAAGAAATTAAATGAAGTTTGACACTATAAATAATAAATAAATAATTTAATTTGGGATAGGGAGATTAGTTTGAATCATTGACAGATTATTGTGCGTGCTCATTTTATAAGTTCTTTTGATACTCCATATGACTCCCTTCGTTCTAATTTATACATACACAGACGATAATCACCGGTGTTCACAGACGATCATCGTCTGTGTATGTATAAATCATCTGCGATTGTTATTCATGGGGGCTCCCACGTTGGTTCCTAGTAATTTGTTTTATTTTACCTTCAAAAGAAAAAAAAGTGGATTCGTTCTTGACCGCAATATATACCATACAACCGGTTGTATAATGTTTTTCTCATACATCCGCAACGAACACTCATTTTCCGCAATATATATCGTACAACTGGTTGTACAATGTTTTTCGTATATCCACGGCGAGTGCTCATTTACAAATAAATAATTGCTCATTATCGAGTAAGTGAATACTCATTCTCGAATAACCAATACTCATTTCTCAAAAATTCAATTGTGCTCGAAAATGAACATTTAATTATTCGAAAATGAGTATTCTGTTACTCATAAATGAATACTTAATTACTCAACAATAAATATATATACATGCGGATGTGTGGGAAATACGGTTCATTCGAATATATAGTATAGGTACTCCTCATTTTCGAGCAATTGGTATACGTTTTTGAATAATTGAACAACATTTTTTCAAGAATTTAATCCTTTAATATAAATTTTGAGAGTTTGATGGTTCGATTGTTGACATGTGGCAATTTAAGAGTCCTATTTTTTTGACAAGTAAGCGAACACGTACGTGTCTCTCCTTGGTTTAAGTAACCGAAACTTCCCGAAAGCAAATTCACAGCCGCGATGCAAAAGGAAAGAATCCCCTTTCTTCCTAAAAATTTTCTTCCTGATGCAATTTTTCAATGAAGGAAAGGAAATCTTTTCGCCCAAATCTTTGGCTGGAAAACTTTTCCACTACTACTTTTTGCCAAAAAGATCCCGAGAAAGATTTCTATTTTGCCATTTTGAGAAAGATTTCTATTTTGTCATTTCAACGGTCTTCTCCACCAAAAAATTTCCGAAGAATCTACTCTCACTATTACTCCGGGTATGTCTTCTCTTCTTTGCCGATTTGCCGAAGGAAAGACTTCAATTTAGTCGGCCTGTCTTCTCCACCTAAAGGAAACTCTTGAATTTAGAACCTCTGTGTTCGGTCTTCTCTTCTTCACCGAAAGAAACTCAATATGCCCCCTTAATCTTCTCTCTTAATTCATATCCAAAATACAAAAGTTGATATTCCAAATTAAGAACGGAGATTCAACAGGGCAGTTTACAAGATTTGTTGTTAAAAGGTATGTTTCATATATTCGAAATTCATTTTCATTCAACCCCATTTTTTCATTCATATTCATTTGATATTGTTCTTTGATTTACCTTAATTACCTACAATTTCCTTAATTGTTTCATTGTATATTGTCTGGCACATTTTCGTTTGCTAAGCTCAAATATACCAGTTTCCTTATTTACCAGTTTTCACGATTTTTGTAACTATATATAAAATATTGTGTAATAAGACTTACCCATGTTTACCAAACAAATGACATGACTTCGAGAGAGTATATCAAGATTCACGCCAATGAAGAAGAACATGATCTTATAGATTGAGACAAGTCAGCCACCAAGTTGAAGAGTGACAAGGTCGAATAAAAATAATATTATACTTGATTTATTGATGAGTTTTATTTTATGGTTTGACTTGCATGATATGGTTAGCCTTCGCCATGTAAGAGTACGTAGTAGATGATTTTATGGTTTAGTCTACAAATACTTTATTCTGTTTAGCCTAAAACCTTAAATACATGTCTTGGTTCAAATGTATTGGTCAATGATATGGTAAATTTAAAATTCAATAAATTTCAATAAATTGATCTTTTGTCGTATATTGCATTCTAGCGCTGTCATTTTATATCATATAGCTTTTGTTTATAACTTTTTTGTGATGGGTCATATTTACTATACATATAGAAAATAATATAGAAAATGTGAATAAGTAACAGAAAATGTAGTATAGAAATAATGTTTGTGTGCACAAACATTTCTCTGATCCTCATAGTATAAAAATTATAGTATTACTTCAAGGGAAAAAAATTGCAGCCTATTTCTAAGCTAATTTATACTACTATGTTAACGAAAGATGTAAGTTTTTTTATCAAATAAATTTTTACCAATACCCAATGTAATTTTCCTTTAATATTTCATCAAATTTTGTCCATTTTAACTAAACAAATATAAGTTGGACGAATAATTTTGGACAAAGGTAATAACTAATAAGTAAATTTAATTAAAATGAGGATTGAAAAAAATCCTATAAAAAATGTTCTAACCTACCAAAGTCATGGTAAGCTTTGTGTTGCTGTTTCACGAGTGAACACTAAGACATCATTAAAAATATTATTTCTATATGACAATATAATCTCTTACAACCATAACCAACATGTTGTATACACGGAAGTCTTTAAAAAATTTACAAATAAAAAATATGTAGTCAAGTATACTTTCAATTCCTCAAATATTATTTTTTCGTGTTGGTGTCTATTGTATTAAATTTTCAAATTTTTAAAATATTGCATATACTGAAGTCTTTAAAATCTTTTTTTTATTCTAGACAAAATATTTCATTGAAAAAAAATCAGAACTGACAACAAATTCGTTCGTCCCCGTGCATACACTGAAGTCTTTAAATTTTTTTTTATTCTAGACAAAATATTTCATTGAAAAAAAATCAGAACTGACAAAAAATTTGTTCGTCCCCGTGCGTGGCACGGGTCAAAATTCTAGTTAAATAAAAAAAACGAGTATTCAATAACTAAAAAAATGAGTATTTCCCTGTAATAAAAATGAGGATTCATAATCTCTACTCAAAATGAGGATCCCAAGGTTCCCCCATACTTACCTCATTACCTGCGTTTCTATCTGACCACCGTTGGATCGTCTCCCCCAAGTCGTCTCCGGTGGTCCGCACCACAGTTTTCTACATAAGCTCTCTGCGTCCAGTCCATCATCTCCGGATTTGCATCGGCGCACTTCTTCCAAATCATACCCGTCTGTTCTGAATCTCGCCCCCGGTAAAATCCCCACAGCGCCGGAGCCTGTGCGTGCCCCCGTTGTTTACCGGCCGTTGACCTGTTTCCGGTGTGCGATTTCCGATTCTATCCAGGTTTGGCGATTCTGCTTGCCGATTACAAACTTTTGAAATTTAACCTAAAAATAGGAATGTCGCCGGGGTCTCACTTTAATCAGCAAGGATCTCCGAAAATGCTTCCACCGCGCCAGCAACCACGGCCTGGTGGTTTACAGACCAATTTATCCTTGGTCACTTCAGATGCTTGTGGGTCTCCTAATCTTCAAGAGCTGGGCTCGAATTCAGATCAGATTCGGGAATCCCCATCTGAAAGTGCTAGCTCTCGTGAAACCTGGCCTGCAGCTGATGCTTTGGCGGGGAAGAAGATGGAGAAGGAGAAAGAGAACGGATTTGCAGAGAATTGTGTCCTGCGCCATTTATCAAGCTCTGATAAAATGTCTCTTCAAGATGTCGCCCGAGAACGGGTGGATGTAATAGCAGATAGAATGCAACATCTTCCAGATGAGTATCTGGAGAAGTTAAAAGTTGAACTCCGGGCTTTTCTGGAAGGACTAGGTGGTTCTCAGCATAGAGATGAGTTCATTTTTTTGCAGAAACTAGTTCAGAATAGGGGTGATCTGACTGACAAAACAATGATTATGGCTCACAGAGCACAGCTAGAAATACTCGTCGCTATTAAGACTGGGATTCAAGCATTTCTACACCCCAGTGTTAGCCTCTCACAAGCTTCCCTGATTGATATTTTCTTGTACAAGAGATGTAGAAACATAGCTTGTGGGAGTACCCTTCCAGCCGAGGATTGTTCTTGTGATGTTTGCTCCAAGAGAAATGGTTTCTGCAACCTTTGCATGTGTGTGATCTGTAACAAGTTTGATTTTGAGGTGAATACATGCCGATGGATTGGTTGTGATCAATGTTCACACTGGACACACACCGATTGTGCTATTCGTAATGGGCTGGTTGGGATGGGCCCTTCTCTTAAGAATGGCTCGGCCGAAATGATTTTTAGGTGCCGAGCTTGCAACAGGACTTCTGAGTTATTGGGTTGGGTCAGAGATGTTTTCCAGCACTGTGCACCAACCTGGGAGAGGGAAGCTTTTATAAGAGAATTTGATTACGTTAGTAGAATTTTCCGAGGAAGTGAGGATCCAAGAGGCCAGAAATTGTTTTTGAAGTGTGAGGAACTTATAGGAAAGCTGAAAAGTGGTGCAGCTGAATCTGTGGCTTGCAAAGTTATTTTATCCTTCTTCCAAGGTAACCACAGACAGTATTATTAAGTGTCCTTTCTCTTGCATTTATAGATCGTTATTGGATTTGATTTTTGTCCCAGCAACAAAAAGTATAAAACTTAAAAATCATACACTTGAGGATTTAATTTGTTTGATAGATAAAAGCATTTTGGAGATGGGATTCATTTACTTAATTTCACTGCACCTCATGAACTTAAAATAATGTTCAGCTAACACGGTTGGGCGCAAGCTATAACTTAATTGAGTACTATGTTTGACTAACAGAGTTGGCAATTTAAGCATTTACAAACAATTGCCCTCATCCATTTGATCCATATGATCCATTCGATATGCTCTGCTCTTTTATGTGCACCCCCTTTTACGTTTTAAAATTATCGGATTTATCACTTTCCACGGGCTCTTCTTATTTTCCCAACTGCTTCATATATGGTGAAACAAGTTATAGAAAGCAATACCTTTATGTTTAAGCATCTACCTATGCCGTAGGTGTTACTCATTTGATAGCAATGCTTTATGTTTAAGCATCTACCTATGCCGTAGGTGTTACTCATTTGATAGCAATGCTTTGCTGAATGTTTCATACTTCCCTTTTTTTTAATGCTTAATAGCTTTTCATGGAGATTTATACTGTGATTTCTGTTTTTTATGTTTTTCTTGCTCATGATTCTTAAAGGAGGTGGCAGCATACCATAATATATGTAGTTTAGGCAATGACAAGTCGATTTAAAATACTTTGACTGTTCCTGGATTTAATTGACAATTTGACAAGTTTTATCTAAAACAAGATCTTAAGTCGATAGTCTTTCAGAATTTAGACTATCTTTTTACCTGCTTATGTAGTGGTAAAGTTGGTTTTTTTTTTTTTGAAATCCCGAACTCCCTAGGGTTGTGTTCTGTTGAGAACTAAAACTCCCAAGTGACTTTATTTTGGAATTCATTCTCCACTTGTATAATTCCTTACCAAAACTTCGTTGTGCACTATGAGTACACCAAGTCAAATGCAATGCTAGGACTACTAAATAAGTACTAAGCTAATACACCAATTAAATCGCCGATAAGAAGCCAGTGAGATATTTTTCCAATGTATAAAAACTAAATCTAAATTAATTAAATCTCTCATCACACAATTAACTTCACACTTTTCTCAATGAAATACACTGCTTGCAGTCCCACCTGATTTAAGTGATTATAATAATGATGTAATTGAGCATAAAATGACACCAGGGCAGATGAATATTTTGTGTGGATATAAAGTATAGTGTATTATGAAGATTTTATTTACTTCCTTTTAGTAGACCCTTAATTTTTGTTGATCAAAATTTTGTGACCTATATAGAGATCGAGGTCGATTCATCCAAGCTTCAAGAAGTAGACGAAGTTGGGCATCTGATAGCTCCCCAGGAAGCATTCACCAAGATTGCTGATGTTGTGCAAGAAGCCATCAGAAAGATGGAAATGGTCGCGGAAGAGAAGATGAGAATGGTAAAGAAAGCCCGTTTGGCCTATGAGGCATCCGACCAGGAGCTAAAGGACAAAGCCAGGGAAGTGACTGCCCTAAAGATGGACAGGCAGCGAAAGAAGCAACAGATCGACGAGCTGGAGAGCATTGTGAGGCTTAAACAGGCAGAGGCTGAAATGTTTGATCTGAAAGCCAGTGAAGCGAGACGAGAAGCTGATAGGCTACAGAGGATTGCGCTTGCCAAGACTGACAAGTCCGAAGAGGACTACACCAGCAGGTATCTCAAGCAAAGGATGAGCGAAGCCGAAGCCGAGAAACAGTATTTGTTTCAGAAAATCAAACTCGAGGGGAGTTCGCGGGCGGCTTCGCACAGTGGCGCGGCGGCTGGGGCACCCGACCCTTCGCAGGTGATGATGTATTCCAAGATTCAAGATTTGCTCAAGAACATGTAAGATTTATATATTTTGTATGACATTTGACATGCTTCCTTCTATAATTTTGTGTAATACTACCCATTGTTATGTTGTTTATTATTCATGATTTGGACTTGAAAACTATACATTTTGAGTGTTATCATTAGTGCAACTATCTACTTGCGAGTAGAGATAAAGTCTGCATACACAGTTTACACACACGCATACACGCTCTCTCCCGAGACCTTTCTATTCTTTTTGAGATTTTACTGGGTTTGTAGTTATGAGCTTGTACTCTTTACCTGATTTAGATTCATTCTGATTTCATCAAAATAAGTTTTAATATGGTCTGATGTGATTGTAGGTGTTGATCTAATTGTAGTTGTATTCAAAGTTGTTTCTGATCTGATTTGGTCTAATCTGATTCTAATAAAATAATTAATATTTTGTTCTAATTTAAATCGCGTGTTGTTGTTTGTGAGGTTTGAATGAAATTATTTTCAACTTGATTTATTTGAAAACTAGTGAAGAATTAAAAAATACTCATAAAATTTATATATTTAAAAATTATATCAAAAGATCTATGTTTGACAAGATTATATTATTTTATCAAATGGGTAGCACAAATGGAAAGAATTCATACAATTTTTGAAGAGTTCAGAGGTAGATGGCATAAAACTCCAAGTTTTTAATGATATAAAATGTAGAATCACTTTAAAATTGGTAAAATTAATTTAGAATGTACCAAAAGACTAACATTGTGTTTCGTTCAAAGAATTTGGAAAGAAAAAAAAAGGAAATGATTTTCCATAAGTTTAAGTGGGTCAAAACTATTTATAAGTTGTTCTTAACTTATAAGTCAGCAAATGACATGTTTCTCTGTGCTTTTAAGTTGACTTATAAACGGTTTATAAGGCAGGAAAAATAAGGTCTTACTCATTTTTAAATTCGTTTTTTCGTTTTTCCGTTTTAACTAGATTACTTACAAAACTATTATAGGACTATCCGTAAATGACTTACTCCTTCTGTTCCATTTTAAATTGTCTGTTTTCCTTTTTTCTCCGTCCCAAAATAAGTTGTCTGTTTCTTGTTATCGTAAACTTTCAAGAGTAAAATAGCTAAACTACTATTAAAATAAGTCATTTTTCTCCACTTTATCTGATCTTCTCATTCTTCGTCACTCCTCCTAAAAAGTAATGACAATTTCGGAAAGTCAACTCTATTTTTCTCTTCCTTAAATATGTCCCAAAGTCAAAATGGGCGATTTAAAACGGGACGGAAGGAGTATTAATTATTTAAGTCATTTTATCTACACAAATTTTTTTAAAACTTATAAGCAGCTTATAAGTTAAAAACTGATTATAAGTAATAAGTCAATAAGTATCAGCGCAGAGAAACACCCACTTTCCCTCCTCTTAGTATATTTTGTCTTCTCATTTTCTTTTCCTTCCACTTTTTTTTCTTTTTTTCCTTTTTAGCCAAGCAAGAAAAATGTTTTCTTCTCATTTTCTTTTTCTTTCCCTCTCAAGCTGATGTCAAACAAGTTCTCAAACAATTGTTCAAAAAGTTTAGAAATACGAGTTCTTGCAAATTTTTAGGCTACCATAAAATTTTCTTCGAAAAAAAAGATGAGCTTCATTTCCGAGGGTTCTCCAAACCTAGCCGGAAAATCAAGTAAATTAGATTCTGATTGCTCATGATAGTTGCAAATAAAATAATTTTAAACCGAATACTCCGTATGTCTTTATTGGCCTTCCAATTTCCCAAACTAATAATCATCTCATATTCTCATTTATGGTGATTTAAACTAGTCAACTATCGTTTCAAAAAAAAACTAGTCAACTATAATCATGGCACGAAAATTATTGCATAGACTAAAAAGTTCACTAATTACTTTTAGAGAGACCAAAAAATCTTTTTCTTAAGGCATTATTCAAAGAGAATGGTTACTTCCTCCATTCTTATTTAATTATCCGTTTTGTTTTTTACATCAAATATTTGAGTAACTATATAAAAAAATACATTATGAATTAAAATATAAAAATTATATCAAATTACTAGTATTGAAAAATACTTTAAATGCATTACTTTTAATATATTTTACTAATATATTTTAAAGATATTGTTGGTACTACCATAAAACAAAGCTTAATATTACGTCCCACTGACACATACAAATAGGTATTATGTGTCTATCTATGTGTTACCTCCAAAATGTGAAAAAAATGATATTAGCCCTGTACAAAATTCATATGTTGAGCCATATTTTAAATTTTGTAGAGTATTTGTGTTTTAAAATTAGTGCTAAATTTGATTTTTGATAACCATTTTTATAATATTTTCACTATTATTTGGTAAATTTATATTAAATTTAAAAGTATCAAGCAAATAGAATAATGAATGTCTAACAATATTGAATCTTAATAGTTTGGGGGCCTTGTGCGTGTGCACACCTTGCACGCCCTTCGGCTTCGGGGCCAACCATGATTAGATCGAGTCATATCATTCGTAGAATCGTAGAAGCTACGAGGATTTACTCCACATTTGAACCAATTGAACATATAGAAGGGTACACAATCAAGCACTTATTTGATCGATTGATTTTTTAATAATTTATGTTTCAAAAAGAGTAATGCTAGAGTCACAAATAAAACATTCAAAAAATTTACAATCTTGCCAAATATGTAAAATAAAGGTACTAAATAATGGCTTTAAATACTCAAAAAAATAAATATTTAAATGTACAAAAAGTAAGATTATGAATTTTGTGAGTATTTTGTTTGAGACTCTAGCATTACTCATTCAGAATTATTTACTTGTTTCTTGTTTTAGGTGGAAAAAAATCAAATATTTGATTAGTAATGAGAATATGAAATTCATGTGTTTGCATAATGTACTAAATTGATATTCTATTGTAAATACATCAATAGAGGGCCTGTTTGAGAATAATGTTAGAGATTAGCGTTAACGTTTTAGATAAAATTTAACGGTGCAGATTACTTTGAAAATGATAAACGCTGTCCGTAGATAGCCTTTTCAAAATGCTAACGCTAATCGCTAACGTTATTTCCAAACAGGCCCAGAATAAATAAAGACATCTTAATCCAGCTTCTTCTTATGTTCACCAAACACACTCTTAGATCATTTCTCTTCACCTGATCTGAATGATTCTAGTATTATTGAAATAAGTTCTGATCGATTTGATTTGGTTTGATCTTATCTGATTTAGTTATATTTTAAACTATTTTTTATGTGATATGAGCTGAACTGATTCCAATAAGAAAATGTAATAAGTAACAAAAATAAGTTCAATATAAACCGAAAGAGAGAAATCCCAAAATTTACAAGAAATTAGACAGAAATAGCTATAGACACTTGCCATTTGTTTTTTTTTTCTTTCTTTCAATTTCACATGGATATATAATGACGTTGTCTTTTCCTTATTAAAGAAAATATTCATTCCACATTAGATAGATGCTTCAAATCGTGAATGTTAAGGTTCCAAAACCAACCAGATCCAACTTTTATTCTTTTTGTTCCTTTTTCACGTGATTTTGTTTATTCTTTTCAATGATATAAAACAAATTAAAAAACACACAAATAATTTGTAGCCAGCAGTATGGTAATGACTATTTGACTAAACTTTTATGAAACATAGTTAACTGAACTTGCTTTATAATTAGTGTAAAAATAAAAAATAATTTATATTTTGAAAAATGACATGAAAATATGAAACATGATTGACATAATACATGACCATATTAATTATTTAATTAATTATCGATTATCCATGAAAACATATTTAAGAAAAAGTATATTTGGTTCAGATTTGCAAATAGTTAAAGGAAAAAAAACAAGTAAAACTAATAGACCGGTAGCATTTTTATGTTAAGAAAGTAGTACCCCTTCCGTCCTAAATTGAATTAAAATTTTCTATTCACGAGACAAAACCCGACACTTTTTAAAATTAATTTATTTCAAAATTGGTATAAGAATAGTTAATAAAGTTTACATATTAAAAAACTCAATCTTTCCAAAATTCTACAAAATAAGATGTGAGAAAAATATTTTATTTTATCAAATAATTAATGAAAATATACACACAAATAAAAGTTATTGAAGATAAGCCCTAAAAAAGTTGTAATTTAATTTTGGACGGAGAGAGAAATTGTTTTCCTATAAAGAGAAGGCATGGAATTACTTGGCACACATATTGCCACACATAATCAATTATCCTCCCAACTAAAAGTCTCAATACAAATCTCATTCAAAACATCAAAATCATGTCTTTGGGGTTCCTAAGGTTTGTGTTCTTGTTCATCATCCTCATCCTAGGGACCGCTCCTAGAAAATCTGGTAACCAGTACTCTCTTTCTCGCTAAAAAATTATCATCTTATGACCTGTTTAGGAATAGCGTTAGAGATCAGCGTTAGCGTTTTGAAAAAGTTATCTACTGGTAGCATTTCGTGTTAGCGTTTCCAAAGTAATCTGCACCGTTGGAATTTCCAAAACGTGCCCTTAGTAGTTTGATTCTTTTAAATTCAAACTGTGACACTCGTTGATCACAAATTAAATAATGATATACTCCGCTCGTATGTATCGTTGGATATATGGAGATGGAGAATATGATGAGGAGTGGTGCGTGGCGGACGAGCAGACGCCGGACGAGGAGCTGAGGGAAGCAATGGATTGGGCATGCAGGAATGGCGCAAACTGCAGAATGATTGAAGAGGAGCAGCCATGCCATGAGCCCAACACAATGAGGAACCATGCCTCTTATGCTTTCAACAGCTACTTTCAGAAGATGAAGAACAGTGGTGGAAACTGCTACTTCAATGCTGCTGCTATGGTCACTTCCCTTGATCCTAGTAAGTTCATACTACCTCCGTCCCATTGTCTTTGTCCAATTTTGACTTTTGGATCTGTTCATCTAAGCACTTTGACTCATCAAATTCTCTCAATGTATAAGCCTAAAAATAGTCATGTGTGATCTTGTTTGATTCGTCTTAACATATAGATTATTAATATATAATTTTTATAATTTTTTAATATACAAATTACAAGATAAAATGGATTAAAGAAGTGCATTGGATGGTGTGCCAAAAGGTAAGTGGACAAAGACAGTGGGACGAAGGGAGTATATATATATATACTCCCTCCGTTCCATTAAACGCTTCCTCTTTCATTTTTTTCCAATTCCCTAAAACACTTCTATTTTCTATTAAAAAACCACTTTTAATTTACCCCTACTTTTTCATAATTTCATACCCTACCTATCACATCACTTTTTCACTAATAATCAAATTATGATATCAGACTTTTACCCATCACATCAGGGGTAAAATTGGAAAGTTAACCAAAATTACACTTTTCTTATTTTGACCCAAGGTCAAAATGGAAAGGGTTTAAAGGAACGGGCGGAGTATATGTATACTCTCTCCTGGTTGAAAATAAATTTTGTTTCCTAAATCTATAAATAAATTTTACTTATAAGTCTACAATTTTTTTACTCATCATGTGATTTTTTAATAGAAATCATCCTAAATAGGACTAAAACATAGAGAAAAGTACCAAAATAGGACTTTCATGTTTTTTTTTCCAGAATAGAACTTTGCACTGTGGTAATGTACGTGACTTTGCATTATGGTAATGTGGCAGTGTACATGTGCAAATTACTATACTTTCTTGGTAATGTATATGACCATGTTTGGTAATGTAAGTCCTATTTCGGGAATAAAAACATGGAAGTCCTATTTTGGTATATTTTCAATGTTTTAGTCATACTTTGGTCTTTCTCCCATTTTTTAATATGCACACCAACACCTTTATTATTTTTTTTTGAAAAAGATAAATAAATGAGGAAAGAATATGCATGATAATTAATGATGGATTAACTTTTTCTAATTATTATATACAGGCTATGGCTCATGCAAATTTGAAGTTGTTTAATATCATGATTCAACACAAGCGGTGAAGATGTCATGGTGTTCCTCAATAGGCCGGATTATAGGATTGCACTGCTCCTAAAAATCTTTTCTGTTTTGAATTTTTTTGATACTTTTTAACTATAAATTAAACATAATCTAAATAAATAAATGATATAAAAATTTGATATATTAAAAGTATATCTTAAGATGAACCCAATTATATTGAATACATACAATAAATAAATATATTTTTCTTACATTTTGCGGCTAAAGAGTGTCACTATATGACCACAAAAGTCAAAATATAAAAATTTTTAGGACCAGAGGGAGTATTATTAGACTGATTATTTTCTTTTAAAAATTAACTAATTATAGTTTGTTTTCTTGATCCATAGTTTAAGATGAACGGTTTTATTGACTGTTTGAGGTTCTAAAAATAAAACAGCCCTATATATTGATAAATTTCTCTTTGAATTGAATGGAAAAGCTTTAATATCAAGCTTTTTGAAACAAATTGTAAAGATCGCTGCTAATTTTTTTTAAAATGTTCATCGGAACAATAAATGTTGTCGTTCCATAAAGTGAAATCGCTCACCCGGGCGCCATTCACTTCCTTCTCAACGAGATTGTAAGATGAGGTAAATTATAGTGACTCAATCGACAACAGAGGCTGGTACTAGTGCTCAATGCACACAAGGAGCTGTCCTCATTTTTTCAGAGATTGCTCTCACATTATCGCTGGTGAGGCTTGATCTTTGGTCTCTTGTTCTGAATTTCACATCTGGGACCAGTGGAGCTGCCCATGCAGGCATAAATGTTGTTGTGATCTCCGGAGTAAAATTTATTCACAATCAATTTTTATTTAAATTTGGATTATATTTGGGGAAGAGAAAAGGTAGGTATTTAAACAAAATAGTGATACTTTTGAAAACGACGAGTTCCTACCCCGCTAACCCTCCCGGTAAACCCTCGCCCTATTCCGACCTGAACACACACCCCTCCCCCCGACCCCTTCGATTGCACGCGCCAAATTTATTTGACTTTGGACTTCAATGGAGTATTTGTAAAAATAACAATAAATAAAATAATAAATAAAATAAAATTTGCTATTTCAAAAATTTATATCAAGAATAATTTATAACACTTTTCCGTTGCTTTTAGTTAATCGACGGAATAGAAAGGAACAGTGGGACTCCAAGAGTGACAAAATTCATTTATGTTTTATGCACCTCATAAATAAATCGAGTTATATTACAGTAACACCACAAATATTAAGTTTTGATTTTTTGTAGTCAAAAACAAAATTTGACCTATAATTAAATAAAAAATTATATGGTACTCCGTATATTATTTGCATGAAAAAATTTTGAAAATATTTTAGAAATAAATGTATTAAAAATTATTCTTGTATGAATAACTAAGAATATACGGAGTAAATATTATTTAATTCATGCTCATAATTTATCAATTTTGACTACAGAAGTAAAAAAAACTAGACAAATATTTCATGATGGATCGAAGTAGCAAAACACAATAAAAATGGCAGGGATCTAACCTCGGTACGATCCTTGGCATCTCTCTCTCTCCAACTTCTATTCTCTGGTTTTTTTAAATTTATTATTTTAAATACAATTTTACAATCCCTAAATTCTCCCCATTGGAGTAAAGTCTTACATTACATACACGTCTGTCCCCGAAAAATTAGGGGCGTGGCATCATAGGAGAAAAATAGACTTTTGTGTCATAAGGAAGAAAAATCTATCAAGTTATTGTTTAATAACAATTGACATTATAGTAATAAAAATAATAAAATATCAAGGGGCTGTTTGGTAACTTCTGAATAGATAAGTGGTTCGAATGGTTGAACCAGTGGTTCAAACATTTTTGAAAATTTAATATATATATATATATATACATATATATATATACATATATATATATATATATATATATATATATAATATTTCTTCTATTGAAAATAAGTTATTTATGAAACATGACTAAAGTAATAATCAATTTAATTAATTTGAATAGTAGCATTAAATTGATAAAATTATATACTATGAAATATTTAAAAAATTATATTAAAAATTTTATAAAATAGAAGGAGATTTTATTTTTTCAATAATTTGTCCAATATTTTCAAAACTTATTTAAATTAAGTATTTCATTGATATGTACTGTGTATTTGTAGAATACGGAGTAGTTAAAAGTTTAAATCATAGTTACAATATTACTACCTCCGTTCCTGAGTATTTGTCCAGTTTTGACTTTTTTCAGTTAACTGTTTTAACCTTTGACCTATAATTAAATAAAATATATATTGTATTTTAATGAAATAAAATAATATTTTGAAAATATTTGATATAATAAAGCTAATAAAACTCTTTTTGTATCAATATCTAATATCATTTTTATATAATTTGAGGTCAAAGTTTAACAATTTTAACCGAAAAAAAGTCAAAAGTGGACAAATACTTAGACATGGAAGGAGTATATTTTTTAATGTTTTATGAAAAGAAATCATTTTAGAAATTTTTTTTACTCAGGAAATATATTATATATTTCCCGGGCATGCAAGTTATCTCACAAGAGTACTTTAGCTAAGGTGGTTGCTAAAGTATATTATATATTTCCCGCGCCGGTTCTTTGCTGAGGCGGTCTTGTGGCCTGGACCGGGTCGGTTTGGTCGCCGGTTCACCGGTTTCCAGTCCGAACCGGCCGGTCCGGTCCGGTTTTTAAAACTATGCCCTAGCATGGCTACTCCTTCATTTCCATGTACCCGGTTGTACATTCGCCAGGTCCACGAGCGGGATGCTCGTTATCTGTTTGAAGATTATTTTTCAAACGACATGTCACATGTGCTTTCCTTCGGCGTTTATGAATGCGTCGTTTATTACTCATTCGCAATGTGAACATACTCGCAGCTCATGATGTCTATTTCTAACAGTGGGCGGACGGTGTTAGAGGTGAGGGCCTATCCACACTACAGAAGTGCACAGTCGCAATTAGGCAGCTTGCGTACATCAAGACATGTTTGAGATGCTACTATAAAAACAAGCAAATAAACTGCATCAAAAGCACCAGCTATTAGAACAACCTAAAAATCGATGCAAAAATGTGGAGTAAGTAGTGCGTAACCGGTACACTGCTTTTATATACTTTGTATTTTGTTTTTCATTCATTGATCGGATCATTCGGAGAGCTCATTGATCAGATCTATCTCCTCGATCCGTAGCCACATATCTATCTCATCGATCTATTTATCTCCTCTGTGCTCTTCGCACATCTATCTCCTCGATCTATCTATTCTTGCCATTGTCTCGACACCTCCAAGCTGGCGACAACGAGGACGACTTTCCGGCATGGATGGATCACAAGGTTGAACAATAAGTGTGCAACATCAGCGACGATAGAGGAGATTCTGAACTTCTAGCCGATACGGTGATGGAGCGAGATGAGCCAAAATCAAAGAAATTTGTAAATGTGCATCACTTTCATTTTCTTCTTATACAGTATTTTCGTGTTTATTGGTCTAAAATAAGCGTTGCAAAAGCCTGAATCTATAGTGGTGCGAGTACCTCCACATCGGCAACTCTACAGGCCGAGAATGCTTGCAACATTTTTGCCGAGGTGTCATTGAAGCTTTCAATGATACATATTTGCGAAAGTTGACTCTCCAAGATGCTCAGATGTTAGTTCATATGCACGAGCATGTGCACAGTTTTCTAGGGATGAACGATAGTCTAGATTGTATGCAATGGGAGTGGAGAATTTGCCTTAGATTGTGGCGTGGAGGGGCGCGTTCACGAGCGATTATAAGGGCTCACGTGTTAAATGAGACTCCTTTATTCAACAATGTCTGCGCTACACGTGTGCCAAATGTGCAATTCACTGCCAATGATTGACAGTATAACATGAGATATTATTTAGCAGATGACATATATTCAAGGTGGTGAATATTGGCGAAAACTATCACGTGTCTGATAAATCTAAAGAGGGCATCCTTCATTCATAGAGTGGCATTCATTTTGGAAGGATGGAGACATGGAGTATATAATACTCCCTTCGTCCCAAAATATTTGCCATATTTCCTTTTAATTTTTAGCAGTCGCGGGAACTTCTGTTTATTTCTATGTTTTCATTGGTTATTTGATAAAATAAAATATTTTTGACACCTCTTATTTCGAAGAACTTTTCATGTAGTTTTTTGATATGTAAATTTTATTTTTTATTTTTTTACCAGTATGTAAATAAAATAAATTAAAAAAACTTAATATTTTACCTTGAGAGTACAAGTGACAAATATTTAGAGAGAGAGGAAGAATCATATTGAAGCAACTACGTAGTACTACTAGTGAATAAGTGGCGGTACCCACTCATATCGTCATCTCATCTTCTGTCACAATCCTTGCCCACAAGTTTTCTCCCTAATAATAAATGATATAAATAGAAAAATCGTCTCAATTACACAAGAAATGGGCCATCATAAACTCCACACCACCACCACATAAAAAACTAAAAAAAGGGATACATTTTCCCATTAATAGTTTAAACTTTATTGTCTCAAAATTAATGGTACAGTATTTAGCTCGTATCGATGTCGTAACAAATATTTCAATTTGGTATGAGATTTTTTACATCATACCGATCTCGATCCCAAAATATCGGTTCGGTATGGTTCGGTATGGTTCGGTTTTGGTACAAGTCGGGATGAATACATGCATCCCTACTTTATACTCTTAAATGTAACAATACCCATTTACTTTTGAAAAATTGAAAGTATATTTAGAAAAATAAATATAAAAACGTAAAAATGAATACTTAAATGCAAGAAATGTGTGTCAAAACTTAGTTTATATTTCACAAACTAAAAAATAAACGATAAAAAAATAGTATTTTGAATGTTTGTGAATATATTTATATTCAGATGCACAAAACTAAAACTCAAATAATCGTATAACTTACACATAATCAGTGGCGGACCTAGAGTTCTATGAGAGTGGGTTCATTTCTTACATGTTAGACATATAATATTTTTTTCCGTTCCAAAATATTTTACATTTTATGTAAAATAAAACAAAATTTCAATTTTTTTAAAAATTCATTTTTTAAAGATTGGTATAGAAATTAAAAATTTAGTCAAAAGTTCTAGCCCTATAAAATAAGAAGTAATGAGAATATTAAACACCTAAATAAACAAAAGCTACTTTGTTGAAAACTAAGGCAGCACCTTGAGCAAAAAAAAGTAAATACTCTATGATACTCCGTAGTATATGTAGCTAACAGTGTGAACACCCTAATATACTTTATACTCCTACTGTTCTTAAAATGTCAAGTTTTTTCCTGAGGTAAAATATCAAGTTCTTTCAATTCATTTTATTTACATACTGGTATAGAAAAAAATTACATATAAAAAAATTACATGAAAAGTTCTTCAGAATAAAAGGTGTTAATTAACAATATTTTATTTTATCAAATAACTAATAAAAACATAGAAATAAACAAAAATTTCTGCGATTGCTGAA